GCAAGTAGCAGCTCACAACCTGCGGCCACGCTGTGATATCATTTTCAGAAAGCTTTTGCGTCATGCGGACCCGCAGTTTTACTGGGACGTTTCTATGATCAAGGGTTTGTATTGGTTGATTATCAAGAATTATCGAGATATGTACCAAAGGTTGGAAGATCACAAGGAACCAGGCCGAGAGAGGGCTCAGCAAATGGCTCTCCTGCGCTCACTTACTTCGTCTAAAACCCAAGCGCTGAATAACAGATTGGAGCCTTTCTGGGATACCTGGGGGCCGTCTGAACAGCGAAACTGGCTCATTCAGTACTGTACGATTCTTAGGTTGAATTTCCTTGTGAAAGACTTAAATTCGAATGATTGGGATGATTCTGATTAGGAGTTTCGAGAGGGTTAAGGTAGCTGATATCGTGGGAAGTAGATTTGAAACTAAGCAATACGATTTTGGTACTTTGAATGATCCTTTGTACTGCTCTTTATGGCGTTTATTCTTTTTCTGGGGTTGTTGTTTGCAAACTTCGCTTGATTCGTCTCTTATGTCTGCTTGTTGATCAGAATATAGATTGACCGGGATATTCGCTTCCATCGGTGCAATTGTGAGGGCATTGTAATTCGTCCTGGTCAACCATACTTGACCTTGTACATCAAATTATGGTGTATACCGGTAAATCCTGGTGAAATTAGAAAAATTCTCAATGAGATTTATGTACTCTGTATGCTCTTTAAGCTAGAGGGCTGCAAAAGATACAAGTTGAGAAACGCCCGACTCAAAGGCGGCCAAGTACGGCGCGCCACAACAACCAGTTACGCAAGGATTATGCCTCTGAGCAACTCGACCTCCACGCTCCGGCACTTCAATTCCTCCTTTGCCCATTCTCAAACTACCCCTTACGAGCAGTGCTATAAATTACAGCCTGCGTTGTGGTGTTTCTTCTCCTTTCAACGAACCCCGAGATCTCCATTCCGATCCGTGTTCTTTGTAGGCGGTCGCGGAACTCGGTGATTGCCCGCACAGCTCGATTGTCTGCTGTGCTCCCTCTTAACTTTCCAGACGCTTTTCTCTCGTCTCGATCAACTTGATTTGACTTGACGATACTTGGAATTGGCTGTCTATCGGAAAATACCGGACAGTTCGCATCCTCGCATCTACGTCTTGTCTTTCAACCCGCAAGTTGTAGCGCGCTTTCCTTGAATAGGGTTTGTCTTGCTTCTCACATGTCCTCTTTTGTCTTTTCATTTACTGATTCTCCTTGTGATTGATAGAAATCTTACTATAGCTCAGCTCCGAATTACGACGTGCGAAAGAGGCGCGACCAGATCATCTGCAATAGGCCGAGACAGTACCTGCCAAAATGTCAAACTTTCTCAACCACGACTTTGGGTCCGATGACGAGGAGGATGATTTCAACCCCGCTCCCCAAGAAGAGTCTGATGCCGAGGAATCGAGATCAAAGGTCGGTCTACAGACACATGTCAAGCTTCGATGGACAGCGCACTAACAAATGAGTGCGAAACAGCCAGCTAAGAAAGAACAGTCAAGTGGCGACGGCGCTAATGAGGAGGAGGATGTGAAGTACCCACGCGATGTACATGTACATGAAGAGGAAGATGCCAAGGACGTCGAAGACGACGAGGAGGAGAATGAGCTGGACGATGACGATGAGGAGGAGGAAGAAGAAGACGAGGAAGAGGATGTGGTATGTTCTCTATGGAGACCTGGTAATACACGAGAACTTTGTTAACTCATAGTTTTATTCTAGGCGAGTCGTCCTCAAAAGCGAGCGAAGCGCGTTGCCAATCCCTTCATCGAGGACGAGGCCGGCGTCGATGATGAGGAGGACGAGGGCGATGACGAAGAAGATGAGCTCGCCGAATATGGCATGGAAACACATCCGGATGATCTTGATGCGCTACCCCAAGGCACCGAGACAGACGACCGCCGCCATCGACAACTGGATCGCCAGCGCGAGATTGATGCCAGCATGGACGCGGAGAAGCAGGCCCAGATGCTCAAGGAACGATATGGGCGCAACCGTGCTGCCGCCACAGATTCTCTTGTGATCCCGAAACGGCTCCTGCTTCCCAGTGTAGAAGACCCCAGCATTTGGGGTGGTCGCTGCAAGCCTGGCAAGGAGAAGGAAGTCGTGTATTCAATCCAGAAACGAATTGAAGAGCGTCCAGCAGGCTCCCGCAACCCCATTCGCATTATCTCGGCTTTCGAGCGCGGAAACATTATGCAGGGCTGGTTCTACTGTGAAGCGCGCAGGCAGGCCGATGTTACTGAAGGCTTGGAAGCAATCAACTTCTACTACCCATCCCAAAAGCTGACCCTGGTTCCTGTAAAGGAGATGCCAGATCTTCTTCGCGTCCAGAAATCGGAAGAGCTTTTGCCTGGTGGCTGGATTCGCATCAAGCGTGGTAAATACATGGGCGATTTGGCCCAGATCGAGGAGGTCGAAACTAATGGATTGAATGTTACTGTGCGACTTGTTCCTCGACTGGACTATGGCATGAATGACGATACTTTTGGTGCCCCTGCCGATGCTAAGCGCAAACGCGGTGCTGTAAACACCGTCCGCCCTCCCCAACGCCTGTTCAGTGAGACAGAGGCGAAAAAGAAGCATGCGAAATATCTCTCGTCTACTTCTGGTCTAGGCGGAAAATCATGGAACTACTTGAACGACAACTACGTCGATGGATTCCTCATCAAGGATATGCGTGTCCAGCACTTGAATGCCAAGAATGTTAACCCCCGGCTAGAGGAGGTTACAATGTTCGCGCGCGGTGGAGAAGATGGAACTGCCAATTTGGATCTGGCGTCACTGGCCGAGACTCTGAAGAACTCCACCGCTGAAGACTCGTACCAACCGGGTGATCCAGTGGAGGTTTACCGGGGTGAACAGCAGGGTCTTATTGGTCGCACAGTGTCAACTCGAGGTGACATTATTTCATTGCAAGTCACCGAGGGCGAGCTAGCCGGTCAGACAATTGATGCGCCTGTTCGAACCCTCCGTAAACGCTTCCGGGAAGGTGATCACGTCAAGGTTATCGGCGGCAGTCGATACCAGAACGAACTAGGCATGGTCGTGCAGGTCAAGGACGACACTGTCACTCTTCTCAGTGATATGAGTATGCAGGAGATCACAATTTTCAGCAAGGATCTTCGACTTTCTGCCGAGATGGCTGCCGATGGACAACTCGGCATCTACGATGTTCATGATCTTGTCCAGCTTGATGCCGCCACTGTTGCTTGTGTCATCAAAGTGGACCGAGAATCCCTCCGCGTGGTGGACCAGAATGGCTCTATCCGCAACATTCTTCCTACACAAATCGCTAGCAAGATTGCCCCCCGTCGCGATGCTGTGGCTACTGATCGCAATGGCGCAGAGATTCGAAGTGGCGATACCGTTCGCGAGGTTTATGGAGAGCAGCGCAGTGGAGTAATTCGCCATATCCACCGTTCGTTCCTTTTCTTGCATAACAAGGCGCAAGCCGAGAACGCCGGTATCTCCGTGGTGCGGACAACCAATGTTGTTACCGTATCAGCAAGAGGCGGTCGGCCCACTGGACCTGATCTCACCAAGATGAACCCTGCCCTGGCGATGCAAACTCCTGGCGGCGGTGCTGGAATGCCACCACCTCGTCGTGGCCGCGACCAGTTGATTGGAAAGACCGTGACTATCCGCAAGGGTCGTTATAAGGGTCTCGTCGGTATTGTCCGCGACGCAGACGACGCCTCTGCTCAGGTCGAGCTTTACACATCCAACAAGCCTGTACACATCCCGCGTGATATTCTGACACCTAAAGAGTATGTTCTTCCTCTATTCCATTTGATCTACAGTCTTTCTAACTTTTCGCAGTCCTATCTCCAAACAACCCCTCTCCATGGGCCGTGGAAGAGGAGGTGGTGGCCCTGGAGGGCGAACTCCGTACACTTCTTCGGGCGGCCCTGGGAGGGATAGTTGGGCCGGTGGTCGAACACCGGTTGCGGGCGCCGATTCGTCCAGAACCCCCGCTTGGAATGGCGCTGCTGCCAGAAGTAAGTACACACATCCTAGAAAAGTTGGCGAAGATGCTAATCATCCTATAGCTCCTGCTTGGGGTGGCGTGAGTGGTGGCCGTACTCCGGCCTGGAAGAACGACGGTTCTCGTACCGCGAACCCCTACGAAGGAAACCGCACCGCATATGGAGGAGTTGGCAGCCGCACCCCGTCCTGGACCTCGGGATCCAAGACACCATACGACTCCAGCTCCGGCTTCGACGCCTTTGCCTCTGGATCGCGCACTCCTGGATGGAATGCCGGTGGCGCAAACACAGGAAGCCGCACACCCGGCTGGAACGCCATGTCCAGCGGCAGAGACCAGCGTGATTTCGATGATGCGCCGACTCCTGGTGGAAACTATTCCGCCCCTACCCCTGGCGCATACGCTGCTCCGACCCCTGGCGCACCAACTCCTGGCGGATGGCCCGAAAGTGCGCCCACGCCTGGTGGGGCTTTCAGCGCGCCCACTCCCGGTGGCCCCTCAAAGCGAGACTATGACGCCCCAACCCCTGCGGCGTTCGATGCGCCCACTCCGGCGATGGGTGGAATGGCTGCTACGCCTGGTGCTGGGTATGGTGGCAACGACGGCGGTCCACGGTACGACGATAGCCCCAGTCCGTAGTTCTTGTTCTCTTTTTCTTCCAAGTACCAAAAGCTTGTCCTTTCCACACACCTTTAAGATATCAAACGGGATAGGACCGGTTTCACATATGTATTCTACCTTTCGAATTTATTTTCTTGCAGAACAGCAGACGGCGTTGAATGATATTTCCCAGTTACTGAACTTGTATGATCTTGAACACTGGTTTTCTAGAACAAAGCAAAAACTAAAACTGGCGTGACTTCATGCACGCTGGAGCTGATACCCCTGAATATCCCGAGCGCAGCGATCCAACCAAACCTTTGCCTGGGGAGACCTACCGAGTGGACAAATTACTATCAACCATGTATAGACTTCCATTATTCTTTGCCATAAACGGCCAATGCCCGGTCAATGATATCCGCTGCCCACAAGCACTTCTCATCTTGGAAGCGCGGTGTGACGACCTGGATAGCACATGGCGCACCATCTACCTCATCGGGATGATCTGGTACCTGTCAGCAATCTATTCAATAAAAGGGGACGAGTTCACTAACAGTCCGGCTGCGTATCAGCATCTGTTATCATAGGCTCGGGATCAAGCTCTTTGGACGCTTTTCCAAATGGAATTATGCATGCGGGATACTAGATTGGCAGAAGTCAGTAAATGCCCTGGAGAGTCAAAGCGAAAACAACAGAATGAGACAAAACGAAAGACTTACATCCAAGACGTTCCAAATCACCGTATAAGAAGGCCATCCATACATATCGTGGACCACAGCTGTACTCTGAGCTCCAGGAGCCAGAATCACATCAAGCTTCTGATCCACCCATGTCTGCCTCCAGGCATCATGAACCCGCTGGCGAGCCTCATACAATGTCTTGATGGTATCGAACGTTTCTAGGCCTTGCTGGGCAGGGAGCGGGCCAGCGAACATCGGTGACGCAGCCTTAGCAACTGAAGTCACAGCGGGCTCGCCACTGGCCGCAATAAGATCCTTGCGCGGGCCGTACATGAAATACTGAAACGCAAGACGCGACGCATAGGCTAAGCTGTGTGCTTCATCCTCACTGCCAAGTCGGACAATACGATGTCCTGCGCGCGTCAAAGCCTCAACCGCCCGATCTAGAGCCCTCTTGACAGGCGGGTGGAGCGGGAAATGTTCATCTTCAGCAAGCACGCCAATAGTCAAGCTTCCACTGGAATTGATACCAGAAGGGATGGCTTGCCATGGGACCCCAATGGCAGCAGAGTCATACTTCCACGCCTGGCCGTCGGCAACGACGGAACTCATCAGCAGCTTGAGATCGGCGATGCTATGTGCTAGCGGACCCGCGGCTGGAACAAGTCCCGGGATCCCCTTCACGGCCCCAGAGACCTGTCCACCGAAGGGGATACGGTCGTTTGTTGGCTTGAAACCGTACACGCCGCAGCATAGCGCGGGAATGCGAATCGAGCCAGCGATGTCGGTCCCCACGCCCAAAATCGATCCTCGGAATGCTACTAGTGCACCCTCGCCGCCGCTGGATCCGCCGGCTGTTAGGGTTGTCTTGTGTGGATTGAGGGTGCGGCCGAAGATGTTATTCTCCGAATCTGCTGTCTGAATGATTGTTAGCTATTCTGAGCATATCCTCGAAGCATTTAGGAACTTTTACCATCATTGTCTGTGGGATGTTGGTCTTCACGTATAACACCGCGCCAAGTTGCAGCAGCATCTTCACTAGCGCTGAGTTCGTCTTCGCGGGTTCGTTCTTGAGAAATTCGACATATCCAATTGTTGACTGCACACCCTCGACACAGAAACTGTCTTTTATGCTAATCGGCAGACCATGTAGGGGACCAATGGGCTTTCCCTCCCGCTGGAGATAATCATCCAGGTACTTAGCACGCTCCAGCGCCTGGGGGAAGAAGGTCTCCGTGAGACAAGAGATCTACAAAAACATATGTTAAGACCATCGCTCCTTTATCCTGCCTGGGATACATCGTACTCACAACCTGCTGCGCAATAGCAGCCCTCTTACAGAATGCCGTTGTAACAGCCAGCGAACTGGCCTGCCCCGAACCCAATTTGACCAATAGCTGACTCGCGGTATAATTTTCCGTCAGATCCAATTCGACCTCGGAGAGCAGACCACAGCGACGAGGAAGATCAATATCAAGTAAACGCGGGGATTCCTGCGCGAGCGCCAGATGGTTCGCGCTCAGAAGCCATTCCCGGGGAATTTTCTGCTCGCAATCATGGCGTTTGGCGGCGACGAGGTCTTGCCAGTTGCTGAAGGGTGTTTCGGATGTCATTATAGAGGTTGGATAGGTGCCATTCTACCTTTGTAGCAATCTTCCCTTTTATGTTCTTTTGTGCTCGGCATTGCGGCATTTATCCACTAGAAGATGCGACCACCTCCTCTTTGAATACTTGTCTTGACCCCCCACTTGGTGTGGTTGGTGATGTTGGAGTGTGTCGGCCTGCCGCTTTGGGATATAGCATAGAGCGGAAGGAGTCCGCGATAACGCTCGAGTTGTATAAGATGAAGCATAGGTGATTATCCACAATGGCTTCTTTTTCTCTACTATTGTTTTTGTAATGTACTCTCATCACATGTTAGAGATTATAGCGACCTAGCATGTTTGGCCGCGATAGTGGACCCTAAAAGCCCCAACTCCTTAACCGGCAAAGCAAGCCCTCTATTTGCCGTCGGTAATTCAAACCTCTCTCCAACTTCAAAATCGCTTTACCGATTATATTTCCTTGATTATCACATCTTTGGACTTGACATCGGGTGGGCAAATAACACACATCGGCCTATGACCTCACCCTCACAGTACATAACACCGAGACACACTAATCCATTCGATTGCAGGGACCAGGTCTGGCCTCATCCCAAGATCCGAGAAGAACCCCATCTTTCCGTACGCCGTCGCAGGCGGAACAATGTTAGAATTACCCTTGACAGGCTTGTTCCTGGAGTGGGGCGGTCAGACTATAGATGTAGAGGTGGCGGCTATCAGATGTAGTATGAGACGTCTAGAGCTATAGACTGGGAAGCAGTAAAGCGATACGCTAGTTAGACTTGAGGATATAAATAAGAAAAGAACAAGGATTCCGCACATGTTTCTCCTCACCACTGTTTCCCAGTCTGCGCCTCCTAGGGGTAGACTTCCTAAAATGAGGGTTAAATGAAGAAATGGAGAAGTGTTAGCCGATGTATTTTAATGATATTCATAATATTTATGATTGTGGTATTTACGGCCTTCGGATATGTGTCTAGAGATCCCCGCAATCTACAATCTCAAATGAGAAGGTAGACCCACCGGCGTGTTATCTTGAACTCTATCAGATGGGGCCCATGATGTGACCCATGGCAGGTGTCAATGTAGCATCCAGTGAAAGGGCATGAAAAATAGATTAGCTCATTATCTGAGTGTATAGGTGCATTAGTGTTGTATTCAACCTTGGAAGTGCCATAGGTAATATCCGGGGTAGGTAAGTCCAACAGGTCACTTCTTATTTGCGATCTGATATTGGGCCTGACTACTTCAGCCTCGAGTTTTGCGCTTTTCTTTTTTCATTCTCTCACGTATCTTTTGAATCTCGCGTAAGACTCTAGGCGCCTCGTCTTCTACTACTCTTGCGCATTTGCTACTTCTTCTCTTTCACACACATCTCTTCTTGACTTTAATTCAATCAAAACAACATTCTACCTTGTACTGTGGCTTTGACCTTTCAGCAACCATGCCTTTTGCTACAGATATTCTGAAAGACCCTTCACTCTCAGCCTCTGCTAGACAGCAAGCTCTCAATCGCATCTTTTCCGACCCAGGCCTCCCCCAGACTTCGACGACCTCGTCGTTCTGGACCCAGGAGCAACACAACTTCAGTCAGGGAACAGCAAAGTCTCTGCCCAAGAACGCTGATATTATTATCATTGGGTCTGGTATTTCCGGAGCATCTATTGCGAGGACCTTGCTGCAGAACCGCGCTTCAAACTCCTCTTCCATCTCACTTCCATCCGTTGTCATGCTGGAAGCTCGCACAGTCTGCAGCGGCGCAACCGGTCGCAACGGAGGTCACATCCTAGAGACAGCCGACGAATACAGCGAGTTCGCCGATGTCTTTGGTGTGGATGCTGCGCGTAAAATTACCTGCTTCCGATTGGCGCATCTGCAGGAGATGCTCGCTGTCGCAGAGGAGCTTGGAATTACTGCAGAGACGCAGGCACGAAAGGTTCAATTCTTGAGTGTTTACTTCGGCGAGGAGCCTTGGCAGGCGGCGTTGGAGCGAATGAACCGTTTCAAGGAGGGGATGCCAAAGGAAGCTGCTGAATGGACATCTTATGAGGGAGACGCTATCCCGAGGGTTCGTTGATATCTTACTGTTACCACCCAAAATGCCTATGCTGATATTCTTTCTAGGAGTTGTGTTTGACTCGTGCCCGGGGCGTCGTCGCAGGCCCTGCAGGAGCTCTTTGGCCCTACAAATTTGTCACCGGCGTCCTCAAGCATCTCCTTGCAGACTTCCCGGATGACTTCCGCGTCGAGGAAAACACCCCCGTGACCGCTGTCTACGATGAAACTTCCTCCAATGGCCCAAGATACAAGGTGGAGACAAGTAGAGGCACTATCACCACCCGTCACGTTATCCATTGCACCAATGCCCATGTCAGCCACCTGGTGCCTGGATTCCGGGGCCGAATCTTCCCCGTGCGCGGGCAGATGTCCGCACAAACCCCCGGCGACAACTTCCCCAACCAGGCAGCGGATCATTCATGGCTCTTCAACTACGACCGCGGATTTGACTACATGACCCAGCTACCGGAGGGGCAGATGATGCTTGGCGGGGGCTTCGCACAGAGCGAGGCCGGCGGCCTAGCAGAGTTAGGCGTCTCGACAGACTCTGATCTTAGTCTTTACACTGATATTCACTTGTCTGGGGCCTTGCGTGCCATCTTCGGAGGTAAAGACTGGGGCGGTGTGCAAGGCGACGCAGTGCAGGCGATGTGGACTGGGAATATGGCATTCAGCTCCGATGGGTTCCCTTGGGTAGGACGGTTGCCTGAGGCTGCGACTAGTCGCTCCGAGCATGGGTCTGAGGGGGCTGAGTGGGTTTGTGCTGCGTTTGGTGGGGAAGGAATGGTTCAGGCTTGGCTTGGTGGTAAGGCAGTAGCGACTATGCTACTTACACAGGATGCTTCGCTGAGTGAGACTGTTAGTGCAGATCTTTCGTGGCTCCCTGAGCAGCTGCTTGTGTCGGAGGAGAGGTTTGCTGATGCAGTCTTGCCTAAAGAGGTGGTTGATGACGTGCACAGAGCGAATCTTTAGATTGTCTCTTGGGCTTTTGCGCATTAGATTTGCTATTACTTTCGATAATTCCGCTCGTCTGACTACGCGGTCTTTTTTTCTTGGCCTATCACGTTTGATAGTTGAAGAAAAGAAAATCTTATTTTTTTCTGAAATCTTACATTATTGTTCTTAGTCCTGTTAGTGCATATGAGTTAGGGTTAGGGTTTTTCTCATATGCCAGGTATCTCCTCCATATCAGGCTTCCATGTTCTCTCAAGGCTTAACGAGAAATGTGAAACATATCACTAATGACCATTGGTGAAAGGGATGTGTCTTGTACCCCGTATCATGTACCATATCAAGGCGCCTAAACCTACTGTATCATTTCGTACAACCTAATCTCTTCGGAAAGGCATACCGCAACGTCATAAATGAGAATAAGTTCAAGTTATCATTGAGATTATCCAATGAAATTTCCAACCATCGAGATACCTGATTCGAAAGTAATCCCGTGGGGGCATAGCCCAATATCACCCGACTTCCAAACGGCCCGACCCATATCAACTCCAGTATCGAAACCCAGGCAGCCAAATTCCATTAACCTCCAGTGGAAAGTCCCGACTGCCAAAGAAAAAGCACGGTGTCATGATCCAGGGCATGATGTCAACATGCAACACAGCAGGCTGTCAAACAGCGTGACCATGCTTCACGATATCGTGATATCGGCCTGTCAATGCGCGCCGAGCAGACTTACCCCAGACGATCATTGGGATGATCGTCCCAGTGACTGCTAGACTCATCATTCCGCACGCTATAAACATATTCTGTATGCCATTTCGCTGGATCCAGGGAGAGATCGCGAATGGAATGCCGATACTGACCGCGTTTCGCATGAACGCCATAGCGGTAAAAGCATCACCGGTGATCTAGAAGGTGTTAGTAAGAAAAGATCACTTGAAACAAAAAGAATGTATCACGTAGGATGTATCGTGTATCTTGAAACAAGATAGGTTGGATAGCAACCAATCATACCTCTCTGTAACTGTCCATGACTGACACCAATGCAGCATCACTAATACTGCCCAGTCCAAACCCGAAGAAGGCACCTGCAATATTGGGCCAGATCCAATGCATTCCCTACGATTCAGAAACAGCATGTTAGCACTCACTCATCAACAGAGCCTCAGCCCGAATGCAAATCTTGACTGTGAATGTGGTTGCCTTGCCCTAGATATTGTTGCACCAAACATGATAAGCCCACCGGTCATGAAAATAGCCGGAAGGTGTAATATGTACAACCGCATCTCGGGCTCGTAATAGCCTTTGTTCCGTTTTGCGTAGTACAAAATCGACCGATCACCGAGGAACCCGCCGTATACTGCACCGATGATATTCCCGACCAGGGGACCAGCACTAGTGTATCCAATTTGAGCAGGTGAGAAGAGATACGGTGGCTCTGGGAATGCGAGCGACAGGACGCTAGAGGTTGCCGTCAGCCAGGCTACTCCAGCTGCGTATTGGAGCGCGGCAAATACCACGGCCGGAAAGATGAGCACGCAGAAGGGGCTGTAGAAGGACGACCAGATTGGCTCCGGTGTTGGCGTTACCAGGGCAAGTCGCTTGCGCCATGAGTTCTGCGGTATTGTGATATCCAGCACATGGTGGGAACGAGCCTGTTCAGTGATAGAAGGGCCTTTGGCTGCAGGCGCCGAGTCAAATTTGTCTAGATTATCTTCTCTGATTGAGATGGCTGGGTCTTCTTCTTCAAGGGTAGCGCCGGCTTGACTAGTGAATGCAGGGACGTATTTCGTTTCCTCGTAGATGAAGAGGAAGATGACAAAAAGGATACCGTTGAATATCCCCATCGTCTGATAGGACGAGCGCCAGCCATGCTTTGTGGCTTGCGCTCCTGCAGCCATGGGGGTCAAGAAGTTCTGTGATTGTTTCATCAGCTACGGTGCATAAATCTCCAAATCATGAGTTGGGAGCCATACACCAATCATGACACATGTCAGGTATAGCCCATTCATACTCCCCCGATGATGCACAAAGAATAAGTCGGCAATCTGTACAACGTTAGTAGGATACCTTACTATCAGTCCAAAGATATTGCTCACTGTTATCGCAGCTATCGACTCGTTGGTTGCACCAGCCAACCCCTGCAGCAAATTGGTCACATACAGCTCTGTCAAACTGACCATTTTAGATGACCAGAATGATGTCGCCAACAGCAGTGCAGTTGACACGATATAGACTGGACGTCGGCCATACTTTTTCGCGAAGGGAATAAAGAAGATGCAGCCAGTTGCGAGACCAACATAATTTACCGACATCGCTTTGTTCAGTTCTTCGTAGGTGACTTCCATGTCAATTGTCATCTGCTGCCAAAAGATGGCTTGGATGGAAATTCTGATATGAGAGTAATGTTACCAAGTCTGTTTTATATAACATAATCGTTTCTCACTCACGCCGTGAAGATGATAAGTGTCATGGCCAAAACAATCGTGAAATTGACTGTTTTACGCATCGTGCTCCAGTTCTATATATATTTTCATTAGCTCGTGACTTGAGTAGGATGCGAGGTGCAACACACTAGAGGTTCATTTGGGTCAAACGATGGAATTGGATCGAGAACGATAATGCGTTGGCCGTTTTCATCTGTCTCATCCTCTATAAGAAAATGACTAGTCAGTAACAGCCCACCTCAGGTAATAAAATATGCCTGACCTCGAATCAGCTTGAACGTTCCCGGAGGCTGGTTCATTTCATCTTCAAAAGAGGATATATCGTGGAGCTCCGCCATCTGGTGATTTGATGACTTGTGTAGAGATGAAGTTGCGCTTCAGGGGTGCCAGTGTGTACCAGCAGATATTTAAATCTCGAGGATATCAAATCCCAAGAAGAGTAGTTGAGGTAAAAGGATCAAATGACCGAGGCAATTGAGTCTGGAAGAAGTTTGCGAGGAAGAAGATTGATCTTGACTCGACAACTCTTTAAAAGGGCGTGGTCAAACATCGATATATGGCGGAACCTCAGTTCACTTTGAAATTCTTGTAGTGACTTCACATGATAGACGTTGATCCTTTTACCCCAGTGCCGCTGATGCCACCGATGCCACCGATACCACCGATACGAGAAAGCAGGCAGGGAGATAAGCCACACGTTCTGTTACCCGGATAGTATACAGGACTTCTGCGCCCATTGGAAATGCGGAGAGAAAGGCCGAGGTGGGATTTCAGGTCAAAGGGCTGATCGATGTTGGCTTATCTTCTGTCCCCTTTGAATCTTAAAAGGTTCATTGCGTCAGTGTTCCTGATTGGAAATAACTTGCATTTATACTTGGGATATAAAAAGTACTTGTATATAAAAAAAGATATCTTTCCTTTATATGGTATAGATTAGAGATGGCCATTTTGTTGATGATAATTGACGTTTTCTTGGAAAAGCTGCTTTCATGCCTTATATATGTATGCAATATCAAAAGGTCACTGGTATTAATCATCCCACTAGTAAGGAAAGGCTAGAACATTTCATTATATGATTAGATCAAAGGCATATGAACAATGAAACACTCCCCGTAGACCTGCCACAGGGTCCAGATTGTGCAATGCGACAGAAGCTACAGCAAACCGTCCTACGTGTGGTGGCCTAAATATCTAAAAAGATGACCTAAGAAGATATCTCAAGGACAGCCAAAAAAAATACTGCTAAAAGACTACTCAAATGACTACCAACAAAGCGAATTTACTATAGGAAAGTCTAGAGCGGCACACTGGCGGTAATAGTCTAATAGACTGCTGTAGTCCGGGGAAGTCAACGCTGTAAAAGAGTTATTGTATGGCGGTATAAGCATTGACTCTTAGTTGCAAGCTTGTCAAAGCTAGTTGGAACAAGCCAGTTTATTCTTTAGACGCTGGGAAGGAACAACACTTTCTTTTTCAATACATACGAAAGAGGTGGATCCTGTCTTCCGTCTATTATGCCCTTCTTTTAGGCGCCTACCTTATACTAATGATACAGGTTTAGCATATCACTCAAGTATCCCTTGGTTAGATTAACACATATCTGTGGCAGGTTTACAATTATATCCGTCCATAAATCACAACAACCCCATCTCTAGACCTCTTCGTCGAGCCAACTCATGCACATTCAGATTTGGATCTTCCTTCTGCCATAACTCTTCCAGCAGACTAAAAAGAATTCCACACTGATGCGAGTCTAGCAAACCCTTCCTAATGGTTTGCTTCCATTCCGGCTTGTGACATAGGACACCGACTTCCAATCCGGCGACAAACATCGGAAACAGGGTTGCGTTATTGATGAAGACATCTTCCGCTGGGCATTCAGCTGTCGCAAGTCGGAGAGCATTAAGGCTAGCCAGGATCCGCGCAACAAGAACATATGTATCTGCCGGACACTTGGCTGACTGTCGCCATGCCGAGATATTGTTATCGGGAATAGGAGTAGAAGGGTTAGCTTGTTTTCTGACAGTCAGGATACCAGCCAGCCGATGCGCCTCCCACAGATAACACTGTAAAAAGCTCCCTGGCTCGCCAGGCCAGTCCCACAAAGTCTGCTCTGTAGTCTCTGCGCCGATCCCAGCAAAGATATCAAGTAGTGTACGAGGAAGACCACTGACAGGCTCAATACCATACCTGGGTATCACGGGCTGGCAATACCGGCGCCAGATACCAATTTCCGGAGCCTGACGACCGACAGAAAGGCAGGTCAGGTCCATCACCCCCATCACCTCGAGGAGGTGGATACGAAAGTGATTTTGTGTAGATTGGCGGTGCAAATCATCAAGACCGTGGCTCTGCAGGATGTTGTGCATACCTTCCAAATGGATAGTCCAGGGTAGGCCGTGCATCAACTGGAGGGGGTCAAATCAATGTCAGAACCTTTAGCCAGGAGATAACCGAGACAAGTTAAGGTTACGCACGCCAATGCTACACAGCAGCAGCCCCGAAGTCAACGTCCCATCGGATAGGGTTGTGCTGCACGCTAGTTCTGATCGAAACGTTCTTAATGCGGTGTCAAAGTACTCGCAGAACTGAGAGGAGACTGTGCTCGATAGCGCGAGTTGAAATGCAATGCAGATAGAATACAAGGCGCTGGACTCTTGACAAAGCTGCGGGAGACGCGGATGAAGCATGCTATCTCTTGCTGTTGTCGAATGAAGCACATTAATGCCGTTATTCATAACTTCTCGATATCAGTATCAGCGTTGCAACCCAGTATACCAAGATCGTTTCCTGCAAACTCACATTCATTGAAAAGAACCTCGTCCTCAACCCTCTGCGAAACCGCCAGTTCCAACTCCCGACTCCCATCCAAAGCTACGCACTAAAATCAATACCGAACAACCGCATCATCTCATCAAGCACTGACCAGAGTCCCTCTCCAGTTCCACCCGCCTTCTCCTCTCCCTACTAAGATCCCTTTGTCTCCCCCTCTGCCTCGGCGGCATAGTATTCTTAACCGGTTTATCAGCACCGGTAAAGTGACCGCGCGACGCAATCCCCGTACCCCATCTGAGTCGAACTTCATAGCCCTCACATGCAGCCCCACGCTCGGAACAATTTTGGCAGGAAGGCCGTGCATTGTCGCAGCGACGTCGTCGTCTTTTACATGTCCAACAGCCTTGGTGTGAGCGGGTCGACATGCCGGATTTGGGGAGTTGTACTTAAAAGCGTTGAGCGGAAATGTGAATGGCCCGCTGTTTAATGTCACAATGCGGGGGTCATGCGGGTTCCTGATATCGCGTCTGACTGCCTATTTGGGATAACTCGTTTTAGGTAGTTCAGATATATGAGATTTTCCCTGAATAGTTGCCTTTAAGTGTCCAAATTTCGAGGACTTCCAGTTCAAATATCCTTACAATCTCCTGTCTGGGATGTGGTATGGAAGAAATGGATTACTAGGATAGATGTGCTTGTGGATAAACGACCGTGAGGAGATGTGATATGAGCCTGCTACTAATCAGAGAGGTGTACTAAACAGTGGGCATAAAAGTTCAAATTATTCTGCAGGCTTGGTCTCTTTCGGCTACTTTTAGTGATAGAACATCTGCACAGATATTCAGCCATACGACCAAAAATGATGAATTGGGATATTCCCTTGTCTAGGTAACGATGTCGCCCTATAGAGAAACAACATAGAGCCCATGCACGCTGTCTATTGCAGTGCGTACTTTTTTTTTTACCATAAAACCAAAATGAAAACCATATCTGCAGTAAACCACAAACTAAACCCCAGTCAAGCCTAGAAGAGAAAAAAAAATACATAATACAAAGCGGGCAACGACCATCACGGCGGCACCGCTCGAGCCAGCAGACGGATATTATCCACAAAGCCCTTGACGAGATCCTCGTACTGGTTCTTGGGATCGCCCGACATAGCAAGCTGGCCCTGGCGACGAACTTCCTCTGCCGAGAGTTCAACTTCAAGCTCGTGATCAAACTCATTCTTGCCCGGTTGTTGCTGCGATATGGTCAGAAGACTGTTTTCAGGGTGAGACAGAACATTTGAATATAAACTTACATCGGATTTGGCTACTTGGGTCAAATCCACCTGGTAGGCCAAGTGGCGGTAGCTCATGCGATCTTTGATGCGATCGCCTCGTCCGCCTTTTGTGACCGCTGTATCTATCATTGGGAGATTGCTAACGTCGCCTGTGTATTCCATTTCCAGATTGACACTGACGCGCCAGTCTACAGTCGTCCGTGGACTGCAGACGTCTACGTCGGCGACTCGACATTTGACAATTTTCGCGAGGATTTCACCGGTTCGCTCATCGGTTGTCACCCGGACTTTGGGTTTGTGCCTCGGGTTCAAGTTTTGACGAATCACCGGGGGCAATTCAGATGCTTGAATCTCATAGAAGGTGTCGCGTTCTTTCTTGTGCACGTATGCAAGTGGGATTCGGGTCGAGTTTGGCTGGGGCATTGATGCTTTCACAGCCTCATTCAGGAAATTATTCATGGCTCGGTGTTGTTCCTGTGGATCGTGGTAAGTAAATCTCATCGAGGTCGAGACATCCTCGCTAGGACATTAGGGAATCAACTTACCACAGTCATGTTACTCTCGAATGATGTCCGAATCCGTGTATTCTCTCGGTTGAGGACGCTCTCGGTTAGAATTGGAAGGTTGATCCGGTCTCTGCTGTCCATGTCGATGATATGGCCCAGTTTCGCCTCAATCTCGACGATAGTCCCGTGGCCAACAGCAGCCGAGCCTGTCGGTCCGGCATTCACATCATTTCTCATGACCACATGTTGAAACAAGAAATCACAAAGGGTTTTTGTAACCTCCTCGTGTGGAATGAAGCCAGTAATAGACGGCTCCCAGGGGCCCAGTGAGCCTACCGCCTGCGAAGTACTCGGCGGACGAATTAAGGGAGCAGGCGGAACTGGGGGAGCCTGTACGCGAGGCATACTTGTGCTTGGTGAAGCAACAGCAGGTGCTCGTGTGACCCGTGCGGCGGCGGGTGTGACTGCCATTATCGAGGAAGAGCGTCTGCGAGCAGCCCAGGAGGGATCCTGCTGGCTCTTTCGTGCATGTTTTGGAACTGGTCCACGGGGATTGGGAATAATCGGGCGTCTGCTTGTGTTGCGGGGCGTCAGCCGAGCATAGATCGGAGGCTCGTTGTACCTCCTTCTCTTTTGCTTGGGCTGCTGGGCATCGACGCGTGGTTCGTGGTCGACTTCCATGTCCACGGCATGAGCGCCTCCACGAGCGCCGGAGGGTGAACTGTTCATTTGACGGCCCGGTGCCAATGGAGAGTTTAAGAAATCTGCGGTGGGTTTTTGTGCAGTGGGACTCTCAACCAACATTCGGTCTTCGGAAGAACGAATTTGACCAGCGGTCGCTGACTCGGAGACCGTGACGATGCTGTTGTGACGGGAGATGGATTGGGGACTGGCGCTCTCGCTTGGCTCTTGCTTTGAGCCGCCCGACGGGGGGTGAGTCGAATCGGAGGGCTGAGAACTATGCGGAGAGAACTGTCGCTGAGTCACGGGTGACTGCGTGGGAACCTGATCTCGTATTGGGGCCTCCTGTGTGGGCCTCGGGCTGGATAGGGGATTGCCGGGGGAATCGTGTCCGGAGGACGGCGGGCGGGCAGTTGATGGCGACTGGCGGGTGGCAAAAGTAGGAGGAGGACCTAGGGGAGTGCCGGGAACAGATCGGTGTGCAGTCGGAGAGAAGCGCTGCGATGGAATAGGTTGCGATGGAAGATGTTGCGATGCAACAGGAGGGCTGTGAAAAGATTCGACTGGAGGTCGGGGTGTTGTCACTACTGATTGAAGTGATTGAGAACGCTGTTGAGAACGCTGCTGGGCAAAATAGGACTGCTGTTCTGGGTGCTGCGGTCCTGCATTCATCGGCTGTGGTGTATATGGCGAAACCAGAGGACCACCGGGGTGTTGGGGATGCGACCCGTATGCCTGCGCGCCAAATGAATCACGCGCGCCGGGACCATATGGTGTCGAAACGTGTGGAGGTGTCTGACTCCGCTGAGACCTCACCGCTGTATTTATCGTTGGACCCGAGTTGAATTGTTGGTAGGGCGATTGAACGGATGCGTAAGGTGAGCTTCGCTCTGGGGAAGCGTGCTGTGGGTGTTGCAACGAGGGAGGCTGGGGCGGACGTGTAGGATATTCTGAGTAAGAAGCGGCCTTCTTCGAGCGCTTTTGGGGGGTTTGATCGGATATGGGAGAACTGGCCGAGTTGCTTGGAGGTGGAGGATTGGAGGCGCCGCCGTCGGTGTTCATGATCGTGCGCAAATCCATCGTGACAGCACCCACTTCGGGACCACTTCGACCACGCGAACACTTTTATCGAGAAATGCACGCGATAGGCGATCGCGACATTCAGATCGTATCGCAAGATGTCGGGGAGCAGAAAGAAGGCGGCGGGACAATGAGGGATGGACAAAGAGGAAGGGAGAAGTTCTCGAATTGCGGAATTGCGCGAATCAGGGAGCTGAGAGGATCGTCGCCGCTTTAGGGAACTTGCGACATCAAGGTCCAATGGTATATATTGTGTGTCAATTTGGATCGATTACAGAGATGTCTATGTTCTACGTTGGGAGCTTTGGAGCTCAAAAATGTCCATCGAAGCTCCCGTGGAAAACGGAGATGAAGTATGATGCATTCGGAGAGCTTAGTAGAGCGAGCTGTGGAAAATGTCTATTCCCTTTTGGAAGTCACCCAATTCATACAATTGTCGAACAGTCTTTGACGTGATATATATGTTTTAGCCTCTTGAGTCTTCTCTGATGGTAAAAAGGCCACGGTTGTGATCTCGAGATGTCTTGGCATTAATACCTGAGGCATCAATCTCTACGCTAAGCTGTTTTAGGAACTATAAACTGTTCTTCCATCAGCCTAGGTCAACCTCGGTCAACCTCAGTATAGGAAAGAAAGATCGATATATAATGCAAATACAATTGTAGTACAAAGAAGACATAAACAATCTCAGCCCTATAATCTACTAAGTCCATAACTTTATTGATTCCTATGCGCTTTGCACTTGGGCGTCCCATCTTTCTGAATGCCTTCTTGTTTACCTACAACTTTGTTTGTCAGAGGCATCTTTTCTCAGGCCAATACGTAATATATAGAGCTTGTAAATATCCTACCTCTAAAAGCTTAATCCATCTTCCTTTCTCTCCCCTTCTCTCTGGGACATTCTTATATCCTAGAGCCTTATTTCCACTGCTATGGCATCAAACCCATCAACCAAACCTCCAGGTAGGAGTTTTGCTTTGTGATATCGGAGTTTTCATTAACCTAACACATTTATATAGTCAAAAAACGCCCTAGGTTGAGCGATGAGTCTAGCAGCGAGTCCTCTAGCTCGTCTGCAAAGGCTAACACCTCTCTTCTTTGGAGTCCAAGAGCTGTTGCTGCTGCCCAAAATGCTTCAGAGGGTAGGTTACTACTCAATATGTTCAATGGTGCTCAGATCCTCTCCTGTATCTTAATTCAAATGCTTTCGATAGCCTACCCTTCACTTGACACTGCAGGGAATCCAATGCTTAGTCTTTGCACAACTCGACTCGATAAACGAATTATTTCTTATTCACCTTTACTCCGCGATCTTTACTGGTGTGTTGGTGAGAAAATGCATCTTCACACCATGAATAGACGTCGAGCTGCACTTGGTCAACGCTCAGGTACAGCGGCTTTGCCTGGACAAGAGTGTGAGCACTGCATGCAAGATCTAGGTCCTTTCAACTCCTGTGTTGTTCTCCGCCTACAAGATTTTAAAAAAGCTTTGTTTTCTGGCGCATGTATGAATTGCTCGCTTATGAATCGAGCATCAAGGTGCAGCTTTCGGGCCCCTCTTGCTCCAAAATGGATCCTCGAGTGGACTCGTGCGAACAATCCCGATCGCCCTATGTCCGGTAGTGTTGCTCAAGTTGCGGGACATAACTCTGTGTCTGCTCATATTGGCGTTCCTTTTTCGGTCCATGACGGATCAGCTGCCTCTAATTCGAGTCGACCCAAACAGCATGGTCCTGTGTACTCTGCTAAATGGTACAAAACCCCTTTGGATGACAGATTGCTAGCAAAAGACATCAATGGCATGATTGCTGTTCGCAAGGATCTACGTGGGATTCGTGCTCGTGTGGCGTATGATATCAAGAAGTTGTCTAAGTTTGTTGGAGACGATGGGTTGGAGGAGGAGACTCTTGAATATAACGAGCGCAACCCATTTTACGATTATGGTTCTGAGTGTGTTGGTGATGATACTGGTTCAGCACCTGCCAGATCTGAGAAGGATGAATTGGAGGTTGAATTGGGGGATGTTGGTTCTTCTGATGCTGATTCTGTCGATGTTGGTTCTCTCAGTGTTGGTTCTGTTGATCTAGATTCGGATGATGTTGATGGTGATGTTGATGGTGATGTGGATGGTGATGTGGATGGTGATGTGGATGGTGATTCTGATGTTGACAAGTAAACGGTCCAGTTCCTTTTTTTCTTTTTTCTATTTGAAATACTGGGAAATGATATGACAAGTTCTACTGTTAGAATAAAACCATTCAATAGGGAGTAAAAGTATGTATTTCAATCAAAATTTGTATGAATGTTGAATCTCGTTTATAGTGTTTTTATGTCGAATCACTTTCTGAATGCGGTTTAACGAAAACGGCAATCGATCGGCTCTTTAATCTCGACTCTGGCGACTCTGACTCTCCGGACTCTCCTGACTCTCTTTTCCAACTCTCACTCTCTTTTAATTGCCGATTTCACATCTTTCGCCATTCCTAGTGGCGCTCAAAACAGGCCCCTTCCTGCTGACGTATTTTCCCGAATTCGCCGACCTCAGCCCGCGCTGGGTTGATCGCACCTCGCTGGACGAACTGTCTAGTTCTTTCTACTTTCTCAATAACCTCTACCGGGTGCTTCCCTTTGCCCGTCAGTGCATGTAAATTAAGGCTTTTGCCCCGCCGGACATGCTCACTTGCGATCGACCGACCTGCAGACCATAATGACATCCAACCACGAAGATCGGGCCACCACCTCAGCCTCCGATATCCCTTTAAAAGATCTCGAATCTGCTTCCTCGGAATCCGACTCGACAATTACATCCCGCTGGAATGGCTTCTCTCAATTTCACCCCTCAAACATCCTCGCGCATCCCGAGAGACTGGCACCGAAGATGTCGCAAGAAGACTGGCTAGCATATTCCGAAGATACATGGCACAAATTGGCAATTGCGCTCACGCCAAGTTTCCTACAACACTTGGTTGGCAGCTCGCCACCCCAGCCTACGAAGCTCCACGCCATCGCGGCCCTAGACGGATTACGTGGCTGGGCCTGTCTGCTGGTCTTCAACTTCCATTTCCTTTTCACGTACACTTGGAAGGTCGCGATAGGATGGGGATTTGGCGGGGGAAACTTTGGAGTTCACCAGCTGCCCTTCTTCCATATGCTAATATCTGGTCATATTATGGTGGCCATTTTCTTCGTCCTCTCCGGCTATGTTTTGTCATATAAGCCACTGAAAACGATTCGGAGCAGGTCCTTCGATCAAACTTTCACTGTGCTCGCATCAGGAACCTTCCGTCGAGCATTTCGTCTCTATATTCCTGCAATTGCGGGAATTTTTTGCGTCTTTGTGGCTGTTCGCCTCGGGCTGTATAATTACTCCCTTGGCGTTATCAAGGAGGGACACACAATCCTCGGCACTAACGAGCAACATCCACGTGTGTATAAATCCTTCTCAAAACAAAGCGATGACTTGTGGGTAACGTTGGCGACATTGATGAACCCATTTGACTATGCCCTCTACTACAACTATTACAATCCGCACCTTTGGACAATTCCCCTCGAATTCCGATCCTCCCTTATCCTATTCGTTGTCATCATGGGGACATCACGCTTGGTGGCACCTGTGCGCATGACAGTAGTTTCTGGCTTGATTTGGTTCTGCATTCGTTATGGTCGCTGGGAGCTCGTCCTATTCCTCTTCGGCATGCTGATGGCCGAAGTGGATCTCATCAATGGAACCTGGGAGCCATCCGCACGACTGGTGGTAGAAGACGACAAAACAACCATTCGCCTTGGTCCTAGCAGCAAAACCACCATCAGAGTCTCCCGCCGCGGGTTATGGATCTCACTCTTCGTAGTCGGTCTCTACTTCGGTTCATGCCCCAACATCGGGTTCAAATGGACGCCTTTCTACAGCTGGCTGTGGCACATCACCCCCAAGACCTACCCAGAGCCGCATCGCTTCGTGCAGACTATCGGAGCAGTCCTCATCGTCTTCTCTATCAATCACTCCCCTGAAATCCAGAAACTCTTCACAAATCGCTTCTCTCAATACCTAGGGAAGATCTCCTTTGCATTCTACGTCGTCCATGGCCCCGTCCTCCATTGTTCAGGCTATTCCATCATGCCCCACATCTGGAATCTCACTGGCAAAGATACCAACTTCCAATACTGCCTCGGCTTTCTCATTGGCTGGTTGATCTGCCTCCCCGTCTCCATCTGGCTAGGCGATGTGTTCTGGCGCGCCGTGGACATCCCCAGCGTCAAGTTTGCACGCTCGCTCGAAGATCGTCTCATCTCTAAGGGTCCGGCATCCGGTCGCCCAAGCCTGGCCACCCATGCAGAGTGAAACTGTTCGTTGGCTAAGAATGAATCTGTTTACATTAGAACTCCGTTGGTTAGCGGTTGCTTTCTCTGCCTTGTTACACCTGTACTCCTTATGATACCTTCTCGCTGGGCGAGCCATTTTGATCATTTTTACTGCATTGGACGGTCGGTCCCTCCATGTTCCTACTACATTACTTAAGACTCGTGATTGAACCAAGACTATCAGGTCATACCATCCTTCGGCAAAAAATGAAAACATATGAATATTCCATACAAGCAGTGAAACGAAAAATTCAATAGACCACCGATCTCCTATTCGAGCAGTCAAATCCTCACGGCGGAGTCGACCCCAGTCATCAATTCTAGTTGTTCTAAGGGGGGTCGGGGCAATGACATTACAATAGTTTACGCAGCATCGGCATCCCAAGGCCGTTTTTAACAATAGCAAATGATACATATCCAATGTATAGTTCATTCATTCATTCACTCGTACCAAACAAGTCAGAAGTATGGTCAGGGTCATTCCCAATCAATAGACACAAGAGTAGCCCATGGAGATCACCGGGTTCTCACTCGACCTATGCAAAGAGCGTACCGGGTCAGACACAGATAAGCCGACCGGTACTGGCGAAGCACACAAACAGCAAAGCAAAGTAAAACAGATGCTGTGCGCACGCGAAGCAAGAAATCGCGGCAAACAGAAACAAATATCAGAGAGATTGGACCATCTAATGCAAGAGCTATCATTGTCGGAAAGCTCTCAAGGGAAGAGAAGAGACGACATAGGAATATCAAGACCTCTTTTTTTGCTTGGCTCATAACGCAACACCCGTTAGTCCTCGTCCGCCGCACACTCCCAGCCATTCCCGTGGCTGACCATTGTGATTAGGCCCGCCTTGTGGGGACCAGCTTATGTTGGAGACTTCGTATTCGCTCTGCCAGACGCAGGCTGGGCCGCGCTCCGAGGTTGTGGAAGGCGGTGCTCCTGGGGTTGCGGAGGGAGGGGAAGCGACTGGCGCAGCATTGTGTTGGTTAATGAGGTCCCAGAGGAGAACCATGCTATCGTCACCGCCAGATGCGAGGATGCCGCGACGGCTTGGGGACCACTCTACGCAGTTCAAGGCAGCCGAGTGGCCCTTCAGTTCCAATAGGGCTTGGCCAGGTTGCCGGACGTCGAGAACGCGGACAACACTAGAGTCCTGTGAGAATGTTGCTAGGAGATGGGCATCATGGGGGGATGCTGGAAGATTGTGTTAGCTTGTAATCATACTCTATGTTGCGGTTATTTCGTCCATACCTGCGATTCTCAACAAAGGAGGGGGGTAGAGGCCGGTCTGCGATTGGCCAGGGGGGCTAGAGCTCCCAGGGCTCATCACTGCCGAAGATATTGTCAGTATTCAGAGCATATAATTATATTCCAGCAGGCACTTACGCTTCTCGTTCTTATCCGTCGGCTCGTAGATGATTGTGCTGTGTTCAAGGCTTCGCAGATCAAACATTCGCACACTGCCATCAGCGCCGCAGCTTACAAAAACATCGACACTGTTGGCACAGAAACGAACGTCATACACCTCCTTGTCGTGGGCAATCAGTTGCGTCTTCGCTGTCAATGTGGGAATATCCCAAATGGTGCACGTTGTATCAATGCTTGAAGTAATGATCAGACTCGGAGAAATTGTGTTCCAGTCAAGAGAGGTGATGGGAGCAGTGTGCTCGGGAGATTTTGAGTTGGACAACAAAGCCAACGGAGAAAGCTTGGAGGTGGCTGGGTCTCGCTGGTTCATAGGACGAGTGATCGAGTTCGAGCTTTGGAGAGGCTGAGAATTCGGCAATGACCATAGCCGAAGGTGATCTCCTGACGTGGCCAGCAAATCAGTCGATTGCTTCTGAGATGAGGGAGGCTCCCAGAGGATGCGGGTAACCGGGTAAGAGTGTGTCGCCTCGGCCGTCTTCACATAGTCTAATTTGATTTCTCCCGCAGCCGCATCTGGGGTGTCAGGATCTGGTTGGGTCCAGTGTGCATCAAGGATTTGAATCTGGTAACTGGTTAGCATAAAGCATATTCGTTAAGAGGGTGGATGGACATACATAGTTGTGACTGTCTTCTAAATAGCTTCCCATGGCTAGCTTTCCACCAAAGCCCGAGTTGCCTGTAATGGGCCATTTGCACCAATCCACTGCGTATATAGGCCATGGTGCCACGTAATTGCTGTTGGTCGGCACCTGGTTGTCTCCATTATTGTAAGACATCGATGACATTCCAGGATTCATAAGTGCCTCGCTCAACATGTGTTCACCAGATGGTCGAATATCCGCCAGGCCAAGCGGAGAATACTTGGAGCCTTGCGGGGTATGAGGCGGAAACGCTCCAGGAGAAGAGGGATATTTGGAGCCATCGGGCGCACCATGTTGCTTGTACATGGATTGGTCGAACCCGGCCGGGCTAGATCGTGAATGTCCATGTGAATTAATCATGCTGGCTCGGTGATTGGTTTGCGATGATGACTGCGACATGGTAGGGACGACTGATGGAGCGGTATTTACTGATACCGCAGCTGGACGGCTCTGATTCCCTGGCTGCAGGGCTCCGGGGAGGGCACTGCTGCTGCTGTTCCCGTCACCACCGTACTGGGAGCTCTGGTGTACGTTGATCGAGGGAAGCCGGGCACCTGCGTCCGGTGTGGTGGAATAATCGTGCGAGGAGGATTGGCGGGACAAGTTTGGATTGATTAGCCCGGTTGATGGAATGTGAAGCTCCTCTGGCTGACGACTGAACACGGCTGACCGCCGGTGAGCGTCGTAGGAGGCGGGATTCGACATGATGCGGTCTAGGCTGAAGAGCAAGAGCGCCGTCTATGCAGGGGATGCTGCGATGGATCTTAGTTGGAGGATGAGCTCCACTGTTTCTCGATCGAGATTAGTGGAGGAGGCTGGGGGAATGCACCAAATTGGGGATGTAGCGGGCTTCGAGGAAGCTCCAACCAGAGGACCGTGTCAGCCAGATATCATTCCAGCTTATCAGGTCACTTGGCTCGCAATGGCATCCTCATCTCTATCGGAGAGTGGTAAAGTGGAGGACAGTGGGCGGTGTCATCCCACGAGAATAGCTGACTCAGCCGGGTACCCCAGCCTGTGATGGGGATGGATCCGATCACTTCTTCAGGGATTGTGGTTCTTTTTGATTCTGTGATTTATTATTGATTTCTGTTCTGTTTGTTTTCTATCTCTTCACTTAAGTTTTAACCCAGTGCTCATTACTGTAGTTATATATTCTTTCACAACATGTCTTCCGATACCAATTCACCCTCGGCTTTACTACTTCTCTCCCCCGCCTCCAGCCTTTTCTTTTACCAAAGTCAAAGATGCCTTTGAGCCATCCTTAGTGGATGTTTTCACTAAGCTCTCAAATGCCTTGGCTGGATCCAACCGTACAGCTTTACTGGATATTGCTCTGGCCATTCCAGATCTTCTTTCCCCGAGCTGCCAACCTCGGGCCAAAGTGTTTGCACCACTCCAACATTATATGACCAGCGTCTATACCCTGGTTGTTGCTGTCTGTGCAACACAAAACATTGAATTGGACTCTCCAGGTGGCATTGATACCCGGGTGGTATTTATCGATGCAAGTGAGAACACCTCAGCCATCCAAGCCTCCGATAGTTCTCGCTTTGGTCCGATTCTGGACATCCAATCACTAGCAAATTCAAGGCGCTGTTGGGATTATGTTTTCTACCTGTCCAACACAACCGGCCAAACTTTGGCTAATTGCTTCACCAACAGTGTTGGGAGCCAGGCCCGGGACGGCACGGCGGCAAGCATGCAAGCCATCACAAGCCAGCCTGACTGGGCGATCCCTGACCGCCTGTTAATTCCTGATGACCAACATTCATTCACTCCACACTATTCGGTGGTTGTTGGTGGCACATTTGATCACCTTCATGTTGGTCACAAACTTCTGCTCACAGCAGTTGCATTGGTCCTGGAACCGCTGGACCGGGAGCACGAGGGCCGCCTGACCATCGGAGTGACCGGGGATGCGCTGTTGGTCAATAAAAAATATGCCGAATTCCTCGAGAGTTGGGAAGCGCGTTGGCAGAGTACTGCAGCTTTTCTGACGGCCATTATGGATTTCTCGCCCGGAAAGAAGTCACCGCAGATTGAACGTGCTTTTGCGCCAGTTCCCAATGGCAAGACTGTCCTCGTAAGGATCCAACCCAACCTGGCGTTTGAATTTGTGGAGATATCTGATCCATTTGGGCCCACGATTACCGAGGAGAACCTTGGAGCAATTGTTGTCTCAAAGGAGACACACTCAGGAGGGGCAGCCGTCAACGAAGAGCGGGTGAAGAAGGGATGGAAAGGTCTGGCCGTATTCGAGGTGGATGTACTCCAGTCTGGAGAAGCATCCACGACCACTGATGTTGAGGGCTTCGAGTCCAAAATCAGCAGCACGGATATCAGACGGCGCCGAGTCCATCTCGCAAAGGTTTGATAGGTACACACGTAACCATATGGAAGTGATAGTTAGTAGATAATCTCTCAAACACTTGTACATACATTAGTTCAACTTGATTTTGGCCATTATCCCCCAGTCATCTTGGGCAGACACATAATTTACACGCATGATCCATCACTCTGCATGATGTGACGACTTCCTGGCGGGGTCTGCATTGGCCCCCTCCAACACGACTCGCTCTCCTTCAATGGCCTTTCCTGCAGGTTTGCGCTGGCTGGCCGCAGAGTCAATCAATCATGTGATTCCCGTGTGGCAGCGTCACCAATGAAACCAAGCGGATCGGGTCAGAAATCCCGGCTCGTCAGTGCAAAGGGCGCTAATAAGGCACTTGGTGATCGTCCCCGGTCGCGAAATCAATCGTTAGGGCGAGAGCTCTCGACATATGGTGAGACAAGTCAACTGTCCTAGTGTCTGCAGACGACGAGTCCGAGTATTTGACATCTTTTATTTTATTTTTATTTCTCATTTCCCCTCTTCTCAATTCCCTCCGTGACTTGTCTCTCCGGTCTTAAGGACAGGTCAAGAGCGTCGATTTTTCCCTCAATTCCTCCATATTTCCATGTTGCTGCTACTTCGTCAAGCAGCCGATGCTTCGGCTGCGCGCGCCGATCATGGCTCAGCCACCTCATATTCACGATCTTGCTGACGAGCTACTGAGCGAGATCTTGTCCTTTCTTCTCGAACCCGCACCCCGAGCCCTAAATGGCAGATTCAATGGAAATGGACATACTTCAAGACCTGGCGACCATGAGCATGAAGTGTCCGATCTTGATCACTTTCGACTCGTCTGCAAGCGTTTCATGCGAATCGGCACCCCTTACAAGTTTAATCGATTTACTCTACGATTTTCTGATCACGGCTTCCGTCGACTAGATGAACTGGTAGACATGCAGCTGGCTTACTATGTGAAAACCATCACATACATGGTGCGACCATTTTATCAAGGAAGCGGTACCAGTCCTTCAATCTCTCATACTCAATCGAGGAAATCAACTAATAGCAAAATACAGGATGGGCCCGGACACTACGAACTTTGGGGTCAGAAAACCCCGAACTATCCCAACTACACAGCCGCCGACTGCGTGAACAAACCAATCTAACTGAAACCAATAATGACCAAACCCGCCTCCGCCGTGCAATCACATCGTTTTCCGCTCTGCAGGAAATAAAGCTCCTCAGACTCCAAGACGAAGCAGACGAATACCTCATCGACTTTATACGCGACCACTCACTGGGAACCAGCACCAGCACCGCAACAGGCATCCGCTTCGACTGGGAAACCGCCTGCTCGCGCGCCGTAACAAACCTCAGCATCGCTCTCCTCGACTCAAAATGCAGCTCCATCCGCTTCACAGGGCCTCAGATCAGCCCTGAAGCAACCCTCCAGCTCCTCCGCGCCCCGTCAACAACCCTCGCCGCCATGGGCGGGCGCCTCACGAGCCTCGACATAAACTTCCACTCAACAACCGACATAACCACAACCATGGCCGACCTCTCAGAAGTTTTCCATCGTTTCTTCGTCGCAGCCAAAAATCTCATCGCCATCCACATTGGCTTCCTCAGCAAAACACCCCTGGACCTCGACCTCGAGCTACTTTTCCACCACATCCGCTGGAAAACGTTGCGCAAACTCAGCATTCAAGGCTGGCGTCTGAGCGCAGACGAGATCATCGCGCTGGCACGCCGCCATAGTCCCCATCTACGCGATTTTCGCCTACTCAGTGTTTATCTTCGGCCTGGTGGCTTGTGGTGCGATGTCCTCGCTGTCCTACGCGAGGAAATGGAGCAGCTGGAGCGGCTGGTTCTGAAAGATATCGACTACGCTGCACACTTTGATTCCCTTGCTATCTCTAATGGTGTCGAGGTCTTTGATGATTACCCTACTGGCCCTGTGCCGTCCTCTCTTACTGTTGCGGCTGGTACCTCCTCGGGTGTTCAGTCGCCGACTACTACCCCGCTCTCGCCTGACGGCCTCCCTAATTTGGTAAGGGGGAGATACATGCCGTTGAGGCGGACATCGCTCGAGAGACTGCGTGCTTTGTCTAGTGAGGACTTGGGGGATGACGGTGTGCATGTCTTGCGTGAGCAGATGCCTCTTTGGGAGGCGTGGGTTCTTTCTGCTCCGCATCGAGTTAAAAGGAATGGTCGATCACATTGGAGTATGTGAGAGGGAGGTAAATCTCGACCTCTGGAGAAGGGAGAGGTAGAGAGATGATTAAAACGTTCTGATTACTATTTGCTTTTTGGAGTTGGGGGCTGTTTGAATTACATTTTTGATGACTTGCATGCGTTAGAGCCGTTCAATTATATATTTGGCTACAATTATATTGCTTCTGAGACTCAGAGTTTGTGGTAAAATGTACCGCATTGACATTGGTCAAAAGAATAAGGACATGTATGTAAGGATGCAAGGGTGCAATCTTAGGATATCGTTAAACACAAGCGTGTGAAAGGAGAACCAACTCTCCACCAATTATTTCCAAAACCCCCTATTTATAACACTTGGCCCAGTCACCTCCAGCGCGTGCATAAGAAAGCCCCTTCACGAAATCACTACGGCGACAACGGCCGAGTTTATCCACCTTGCAGCCGTGCAGCGGAACAACGCGGTCATTAACGAGGACTCGCACGAGCGGCTCCGGCTCCTTGCCACATTGCATCATCTCGATATAAGCACGAGCACCGAAGCTAATCGTCTTGGCAGATGAATATCCGTCCGCTCCCTTGGGAGTCTGGAGGTGGTCAAGCGGAAGTGGAGCGGTGCCGTTGTACAGCCCCATAGCAAAGTAGATCGGAAGCATTCCGTTGTCGTGGGAGAAGTCTGCGTACATGTTGTAGTTGAGGGGGAATGTCGGAGCGCCGGGGGCATCAAGTGTGCTGTTTGTGCTTGTGTGGTCGTTCACTGGGGTTTTGGTGAGTCGAGCGATTAGTTCGTTCACGAAACCGACACCCTGGGTTGGGCCAAGGGGATTGCCTGCGCCATAACCGTAGTATTTGCTCACTGACTGCAGGTAGTCGTATTGGTTCCATTCGGCTTGGGTGAAGAGGTCGCAGAATGGAGATAGCTTGGATGCATCTTCAGTCAGAGTCACTGTCTCGAAAGGACAAAGGTCCATCAGACTGATCACATCAGTATCTGTGAGTTTAACGCCAGGGAGATCAGCCTCGATACGGGATTTGATGGGCGGCACAAAGACTGCCATGTATTTTTCTTCGACCTCATCGCCCAGTACGTCGTCCTCGAACTTGGGACAGGTGTTGTGGTTCAGAGTGTTGTTGGCGCCAACTTCTTCTGAGATGAGAACACTGATCTTGGGGGCTGGCTGCTTGTGGTCGGCCTTTTTGTCCTGCAACTTTGCCTGCTTGAAGCCCTCGATGAACTTCTCTCCCGAAGCGATAACCCGCTCCGACTCAGCTGAGCGAATGAAGGGCACAGCTTTCTTGGCCAACGCCTGGTAGCGCTGGTAGAACTTGATTCCCGAGTTCAACAACTGGTTCTCTCCGAAGGGTACCAAATCATCGCTGCCCATGGTGTATTCGTATGAGCTCAGGAATTTGGTCTTACCAGTGTATGCAGTCGCGTTCGCATGGATGGCGTTGAGGAGCTTGGCATATGCCTTGCTCTTGTTCGCCGATGGGAATCGAGCACCATGACGGGAGATCACTTGGGCAAAGGTGATCTCACAGTCTTTGGGTACCGCCTCATCTGAAACGGGCGATTCGTCCGCAACAGAGAAATAGGGCGAATACTGGCCCCACTTGTGCGTGAGCTCAGAGTTGCATTGGTAACCGTCCTCGACAGTATTGCAATCTTGTTTGTCATTGTTTCCGTGTTGCGATGACCTCTTTGACTTGTCAAGGGTGGAAGTCACAGGTAGCTCAGACTGGGTGGCATGCGAGGGGCTGTTGCACTGAATTCCAGGCACGGAGTACATAGCCAGGGCGAAAAGGCCCAGCACCGACATGGCGGTCAACGCAATCCATTTTCGGGATTTCTGACCTTGCCTCCGACCTTGATATTCCTCTTCAATCAGGCCCTCTTCCTCCCCGTGCTGTTGTTTGGAGAACACTGCCATTGAGCCGGGTGAATGAGTAGATAATATCAATGCTTGAAGTATGTGAAACCTGCAAGGATAGATGCAAAGATTGGGGGGAATCAGTCCATATTTAAATGTTGACCTGATTCTAAAATTGTTCGGGTTAACCCTTGCGGATAGGATGCTCGTGAGTGTTTTGATTGCGGTGATTCGCTGATTGGCCTGTCGGGTGTTGCTTGAAAGCGGGAAACACGTGGGAGATGCCCTACCCGTGACTCGATGGGATACTTTACAGTACCTGGAACTAGTCCATTCTAGTATACAAGTGGATGTCACTAGAGGTACCTTATGTATACTAGCCCAACGGGGGAGTTTGACGTATATTGATTCCGAGGTAATATTCTCCACTCCTCGCCTTACAGAGACAATTTTATGTACCTACATCTTCCTCAGACCATATATACGGAGCATTTCCATCTCTTTCTTCCAATCATATTGGCTCACTATGTCTTACCTCGCTTGCCGGGTTATGAATAGAGTTTCGGTGGCTCTCACATGAGGAAGCAGCGGCGAAGTAATGGATACATGCATGGAATTTCTTTGGCAACCTTGATATTACGGGATCTCATTTCCGATATAGATTATCTTATCTATACGGAAGCTAGCGTGAAAATATATACATATCTGTATGCATAGAAAAGTCGTTCGCATTGATTATGTACATATAAAAAGACATATAAGAAGATATCCATATATAATGTGTAAAAAGAATATCCAAAAACACAGGGAGTGTTCTTACATCTAGCATCCGCAATACGGCTTGGGCTAAATAGATCGGATATATAGAGTCCTATTTCGTCAAGGACCGACGCCGCATCAGCGGCCGACTATTCAGAATATAAGAGCTATAACAACTCGGCAATCGCTTTCACTCAAACTAGACATAAATGGGCTGAAATGAGTAGCCGGCCCTTTTGATATTTCCGTCTCTATAACATGAGATGCAGGTGTTGAACACGAGTGCTACCTACCCCGACGATATGTTACACTGATAAAATATATTCCACCAACTGTACGAAATCACGGCTAGTAAATCCCAGCTTTTGGTAAATTGCAATAAATCGAAGGACTGAAGGATTGAAGGATTTCAGAAGAAATTGATAATACGAGAGTAGGCTTGTCGTATACACACCTACTGTGGAGTCCATTGCACGTGTCACTTTTGGTCCAGTTCTTTGAGCTTTCCCTCTTAAAAAATTCCATATGATAGATAGAAACAATATGCCTACTCAGATTCTACCTGTTATCTTGCATTTAGGTGGATCAGGCCAAAAGTCATTTCATTTCAAACCTCCGTTGCTGCAGCTAGAAGATTGAAGGCATGATCATCCGTTTCAACGATCAGCATAGACACGTGAGCGTGTAGATCAATTCACTTTTTACTATCAAGAGTTTTATTAGGATTTTAAGCAAATCTAGTAAAATCTTAACCATCTAAGCACTACAGAGTATAGAAGTAGAAATAATGAAGTTGAATTCAATTCTGTAGTTCGACTGTGGGGGAACTCCAACCAATCAGAATTCCCGGGGTTGCCGAGACGCGCCCGACCCAAACATTCCGACTTTGCTCCAAAACAAACCAGCTTCAATCTTCAACTTCACCCTTTTACTCTCAGAATGCCTCCAATTAACAGAAATTCTGGTTTAAATGACGATTCATTTTCGCTTACCAATTTGGACGACGAAATAATGGGCACCTCGACACGACGTGTCGATCAGGAGCTTGACTACGATATCAACACATCAACACTCGACCGTGCTTTCCCCGAATTTTCGCAAATACAGACCTCCGAGGAGGAGGAACAGGAATTGGACGACCTTTCACACAGTGACCTCGATATGTCCGTCGAGGTGGGACGCGGTGCTGGCAAACCAGCACGCGATGACTCGCGCAGCTCTATGATGAGCTTCGAGAACAGTGTACGCTCATCCTCGCCCGCCATGCGCGTTGAATATCCCACACCACAAAAGCCAGTTACTGCTACGCGTCCGTCGCGTCGTGCAGTCAGTGAAAATCTACGAAAGAACGCCCAGGTGCGACGAGCCACCCAGGCGCAGAAAGAAACGATGAGCCCGCAAGTCTCGAAGGCCCAACGCGACCAGCGACGGACATTCTCCGATATGCACGCCAAAGTACGTGACAGCTATGAGGGTTCATTTTTGGGAGACGAACGACCTGCCCCTATCGCCACGAAGACGCGTTCGACGCGTTTTGGAAACGCAAACACTTCTCAGGAGATTGCAGACGCAATTGAGCGAGCTTCGAGGGAAGCCTACGCGAAGGAACTCCGCAAATCGGCTTCCAACACTGCAGGAACTCCCCGCAAAAGCAGTGCCAATGCAGCCAACACCAACACTATTGGTGACACCATGACCCATCAATCATTCCTTCTTCCCGACCTCCCTAACATCTCTGAACTCGTCTCTGGTGTGTACGAAGATGGTACACCAGTTTACTCCCGACAGGGCAAGATGCGCTCTACCCGATTTGTTTCCCCACTTCATGATCATACAGACCTGTCTCTCCCCCACGAGCACATGCCACTGGATGCAGTGCCCGTCCCCGAAGATGAAAAAGCCCTGTTTGTTCATCTGAGACTACTTCAGGATAAGGTGGCAGAACTGGAGATGTTCAAATCCGAGGCGGAGAGAAGAATGGACAGTTACCGCCAGGAGAATTCATCTTTGAAGGCAAACAGACCTCGCCAGTCATCAGCAAAGTACGAATCAGAGGATAATTCACACAAAAAGGGATCTAAGCGCCTGGAAAATGAGAACCAGAAGTTGGACGCAGCCAATCTCGCTTTACAAAATCAGTTGGATATCGCCGATAGAAAGGCCCAGGTCCAAGAGTCTGCCATCAAGCGCTTGAACCATGACAGAGAGTCAGCTATCTCACAGCTTGGAGCCGCTTACCTCGAAACCCGAGAGCTTAAGGCCGAGAACGAGGAATTGCGACAGGAAAATGCGGATCTCAAGTCCCAGATAAGCCGATTCTCGGGCCGCAAGGCTCGCGAACATGACACCGTCGAGTCCGAAGCTAGTTCAGCCGTTTCTGATGATGTCGATGACAGCCAATCTCACACTGAGCGCAGTGGAGACTTTAGTCGGAGCACCAGAGACATTACATCGAAAAGCCAGCGCTCCACCACGAGGAATAGACGCCATGATGACTCCCGCTCCAAGGTATCTACTCAAGTGGACAAGGAAATTTCTCGTCTCGAAAAGGAACGTGCCGATGAGGCTCTCTTCTCCATTGAGATGCGTGCTTCCAACTCTAAGCCATCAAAGTCGGCTGTGTCTCGCTCTTCCGAATCAAAGAGCTCCCGGAAACAACCCAGCACGAGCAAGCAGCGCGTGAAGCGAGTGATAGTTGAAGATGTGACTGGGCCGGAGGTGTCCGAGCAGACCAAGGCTTCATCTGAAGCGGACGTTACCTTGTTGAGTGTTATTGATGAACATGAAATCTCTCGTCTGCGCAAGACCTTGGAAGAAGAAAGAATGATGCGCAAGCAACGACGTTCGAGCGCCCCTAAGGAAGAGACCGTCAACTCGACCAGACAGAGCATTTTGAAACCCCCTGCCCCTCGCAAGTCATCTCTTCGCGAACCTAGGACTGACATCCCTCGCCCGGCCTCGGCTACTGGAGATATTACCACCGCTTCGAAGGCAAATACCGATGGAGACAGTAGTCTCACAGTACCAATTGCAGAGCGCTCCCGGCGCCATTCAGAAAATTCATTGCCTGCAACATCTCAGCGCAAGAAGCAGCGCAATGTCGCTGACATGACCTCCGCTTTCATCCTTCCTGATATCACGCTCCACCACGTCGACTTGGCGGCCGCTGATCCATCCAAGTTGCCACAAGCCACCCAAAAAGCATTGGATAGCATTGCTCGACACAATGGACAGAACTGCACAGTTTGCAATGCACACTCCACCGACGGCACCTGCAACCACGAGTCCGTGAAGGTCGCCAAACCCATTCCTGTGTCAGAGCGTATGCCCGAGCCATCCCTCTGGAACGAAGAACCAACTATGCGCCCCTCGCAACCTCCTGCCGTCGCTCTTGCTACTGTTCTCAAGGGCCTGGAGGATGAACTTTCCCACCTGAAGATGCAACTGGCCACATACCAAAGCGCCTATAATAAGCTTGACGCCTCGCTCGGCAAGCGCCCGCGCAAGGCCTTGCAAGAAAAGATTGACAAGATCTTCAAGGACATAGATATGAAGTCCGACCAAATTTACGCTCTCTACGATGTTTTGGAGGGCCAAAAGCAAGATGGTCGCGAGATGACCGAGCACGAAATGGAAGCGACTCTTGAGTCAATTGGAATTGATGTCGGCATGTCTCATGCACCTGATGTTACTGGTACTACCGATAAGTCTTCTCGCCACGGCCAGATTGACCTGGATGATGAAGAGGATTTGCCCTGGGAGGGTATTGAGAGCACTGCTGAGATGACCGGCCACCTTTCTCTGGGCGGTCACTGAGCTGATGTTTATTGCATCGCATTGCGTGTGTTGATATTATTCTGGTTACTTTGCTGCTACTTTGGCGCTGTTTCATGGAGTTTGGTTCGATCTGTATGTTTACTTCATTGATTTGGGTAATCGATTGTTGGTTAGGTAGTTCTTGATAGTCAAATGTCATTGCGGCCGTATCATGGCCTTGGAAATAACATTTTTCCATCTCTTGTTCAATACAGCATACCTCCCTTTCAGGTTGTTCAGCTGTTTCTGCTGTGTGTAGTATCAATCTCAATATCTTTGTTAATTTTCATTCTCCGGATGATGGTAATACCAGATGCAGTGGCTGGGATACCCCAAGCAAACAGAAAAAAACGCCATCGCTATGCTCAGTAGCTAATTAAAAATCCAAATACCATGCAAACCCCAAAGCCATTGCAAACCAAGTCGAAGTAGCATTCAAGCAGTGTTTTCTCCACTACCCGCAGCCATCGCAGCACCCTCTGAAGCCGTCGACTTCGAAATATTAGCAGCATCTCGCTGGGAGATTTCCTCCTCAACAAAGCAGCTCAACCCGGCAAAAGCCTCAAGCAGCGTGCGCGAGTAGTATTCACGCAAATCATAACCACCAGCCAGCATCCGCGCATCATTGCGAATAGGATCAAGATACTGAGACGGATAATATGACTGGAGAGAATAGTAATCGCGCTTTTCGGGCAAATAACCCATAAACGGATCGTAGGGCTTCTCCGGCTCGGGCGTGATGATCTTGCGCAGACCCTTGACAAGCCCTGTATCCGCCGCACCAGCATGATCCACCGTGGAAAGATTCGACCCGCGCTTGGTCTCCAACCGCAGTGCAGCTTGTTTCTGTCGAATGCGTTCTTCCTCGCTGCGACGTGCGGACGACTTCTTGAGCAGCACCTTGTGTCCCTCGCGCGCGATGGCCGCAGCATCTGTTGATGAGCCGGAGGCGAGTCTTGAGAGGAAATCCTCGCGTCCGGCTTGGATCTCTCGCCGCTCGGTCTCGTATTCCTGGCGTACTGCTTGGCGGCGTAGTCGGGCTTCTTCTTGTTCGAGGGTCATGCGGGCTTGGAATGAGGAGGCTTCCTCGGCTTCTATAGCTTGGTTTGTGCGGATTGATTGCATGTTGTCTGCGGCATATTTTTGGAGCTGGGCTTCGGTTTTCGCCACGTCAATGCGGCTTACTAGGTTCGCGATGATGTCCTCCCTTTGTTCGAGGAAATCGTCATATGCACGTTTTGAGTCGAATTCTTCTTCGCGGCGGTTCAGACTGATCGATATAAACTGTTAGTTCTCTCATATCACAGGCTGGTTCAGGGTGATTGGCAAGAGACGTACATGTGCATCACGCGCCGCCGGATATCTACTTCTCTCTCCACCCCGATATCTTCGAATGTTTGCTTGCGGAACCGATTTTTGCGCAGCGTCTTGCGACACCCAGCTACCGGACAGTTTGCGGGACCGGATGAGAAAATGCGGTCTACGCACGACTCGCACATCTTATGGTAGCATTCGGGGTTGATGAGAAAGCGCATGTCCGGGTTGAGGTATCGTGACGATTTGCAGACAGGGCAAACCTCTGTGGAAGGATATGGTTAGCATTATACATCACGACAAAGCCAAACAAGAGCTTACCGTCTTCATCACGGCGAGAAGCCGCATCGGAGGCCATGGTGAGTGAAGTGACGTGGGAGAGATGGACCATGGACTGGGCTGAGGCTGATAAGCAACGCACGTGCACGGGCCACATCCTCGTCACCTTTTTTTTTTTGCGACTTTTTCTTTTTGCCTCCGCCAACCCCTCTCTTTGCTCTGTTCCATTCAATTGACATTGTCAGTGTGAAGCTGCCACTTTTAGCAACCATGGGAATACCTAACCCCAACCTCGACGCTCTCGAAGAGCAACGCCTTGCGCTTGAAGAAAACATCCTCCAACTTCAGAAATCGCTTTACCACTGGCGAACCTGGGAAGCGGAATATGATGGAGTCCGCGAGGAGATCAGTAACCTAGAAGATGACGCCAACACAGACGAATTCCTTGCAGTGGCTCTGGAATTTGGCGGCACGCTGGTGGATCAGAAGGAAATGCAGACAATACTCGGTTCGCAAGGTGTGACGCGGTCTCGCGGGCAAGTGGTTGATCTTCTTGGAAGGCGTATCGACTACGTGCAGCAGAATGTTGCAACTATGGAGAAGAGGCTTTCGAAGGCCCAAAATGAGCTGGACGCTTTGATCTTGAATGATCAGCCACCGCTGCAGGACGGTGCGGAGTTCCCGATGCAGGAAATTATGGAGGAGCTTGATGAGGATGGAAACGTCATCTCGAGCAAGATCAATACTCCTGGGAATGACGCTACGGAATTACTGGATGTGCTGAAGAAGGCTGGTGTCAAGGATATTCCAGAGATTGGTGAGCCAGAGAAGACTCCCACAACTCCCGCCGATACTACACGTGAAGGCGCGATGGATGAGTCGATTAGCTCAGAGGCTGCAGACCTGCAGAACGGTTCCTCGAGTGGCGACAACGTAATCACAGATCCAAATGGCGTATCCCTGAAGTTCTCTCAACCTCAGTCTGTGGTGACTGCGGAGGATCGCATGCAGCCGCCTATCACGGACGTGAATGAATCTGCAGAAGAAGCAAGACTTCGCCGTGAAATGCTCGATTATGGGATCAACGAGGTTGGGGCTATCGTGGCAGAGTTGGAAATGGATGAGTCCGGAAGCGACATTTCTTTCGATGAGGACTACGATTACGACTACGACGCGGAAGATAATGAAGATGAACACGGTCGCTCTCACACCCGCCTCCCGGCGGAATACCACCAGCAAATGATGGAATTGGAGGCCAAGCTCAATGCCCGAGGCTTGATGAACATGGGCAAGGATACCGAGACATTCCCCGAGGAAGTGCAGCAAGAGATTGCGGCACCTGCTGAGGTTGAAACTTCCACCAAAGAGAAGAAACCTAAGAAGCGTGTTGCGTTCGCCGATGAGCTTGATATCGCACCAGCTCCCACACCCTCAGTTCCTGCAGAGAAGGCTCCTGCTTCACAGGCCGAGCCTCAGGTGCTCGCTGATTCCATTGTTGAACGGACCAGCCGTGTCCTGGAGCCTGCTCCAACCACCCCTGCTGTTCCTAAGAAGACGTCGCGGTTCAAAAGTGCTCGGGCTGTTGCTCCAGATAGTGCCGCCAGCGGATCTGTTACTACCGGGGCTACAATCGCAAATCCGTCCGAAGTCACCGAATCTCGCCTTCGCAAACAAGCCAATACAGCTCCATCTGTGGTGCCGCCTGTCCTCTTCCCCGCGACGCCAAAAGAGCCCAAACCCTTCTCCGCGCCGATCACTGATATCTCTGGGGTCACCGAGAAACCTTCTGCGCCTCAATTTCCACATGACCGAACACTAGCCGAAAAGGTCTTTGAGCGACAGCCCAAAATAGGGGCTGCAGTGGCTCCTGAACTGGACGTCTACGATGAAGAGCTTCACCAGAAGCAGATTGCGTCAGAGTTCTTCAATATGCAAAAGCGCATCAACGGCACTAAAGAAGACGAGGAACAGGATACTTTCCCTCCTGAGGAAGCTGAACCTAAGCGGGTCAGCAAGTTCAGAGCTTCACGAATGGGATAGTTTTGCAGTTGGTTACATGTATGTTCTTCAAATCCAATGTATCTATCAGGAAAGAAGTGTTTGTTTTGTTTGTCTAGTCCCCTTAGTCCTCATCAAAACCCTCCTTCCTCTCTCCTTCTCTCTCTCTCTCTCTCTCTCTCTCTCTCTCTTCTTCCCCCTTCCTCTGACCAACGGACTTCCAATTTCTGGCGGGTTTACCCTCAGGAAAATACAAGGTGCATACCCCTATCTCCTCGTGAGATGGGAAACCGTGGTATCACCACGAACTGAAGTCCAAGATCGAAAGAGGGCTTCTCTGGCTGCACTCCTCAATTCGATCAGAACAGGAGAGAAACCGTATGTTACTCGTGCTTTTCCTCTGGGGGGGCTCAGAGCAACTACGGGAGTATTGACTGCCTGGAGGATTGCAAGATGGAGGTGTGGTTTATTTATTCTCTCTCGACATCCCATGTAGCTTAATCTAAAGTCAATGCACTTATGTCTCGACTTTGTTTCCCACTTGTCACCTGCCGCAGTGCCTTGTCACGTAGTTCCCGTCCTATTTTCACCCTTAACTTGGGACTGGTCTGGCTTCAATCCAAACTTACACGAATGCATGTCTTTGAGACAATAAGGAATGACTCTCGATATTACCATATAATCCCTCATTCTTTATCGTAAAACCAATGTCTACTCGTGATAGAGCACACCAAATTGCAACATGACCCCTAGCATATCAACAAAGGAAGCACGAGACGACCTCAAAAACAAGAGGTCACGCCTGGTGCAATCTTCTCCAACTTGGTGACCATCTCTTCAAAAAAGGCTTCCTGGATCATAACTCCCTTTCCATTGGTCACGATACAAGATGGACTGGAGAATAGAGTTAGTTGACTTGATTTTCCGAAACAGACACCAACAACCGACTGACCTGTGAACCCGACAGTTTGTCAAATACTGCCCATTGCTTTTCTCATCGGCCATGATTGCGTGTACCAAAGCACGACTGCCCTCCTCCGTACTGCGAGCCAGCAGCCTTTCGCCAACGCGGAGGCCGACACTGTCCGTTTCCCGCACCAGTTGAGATTTGCAGAAGCTAGGGTTTGGCGTGTTGATGATAACCAGCGGCGCTTGACTTTGTGAAAGCCGATTCACAAACGCACGCACGCCAAACAATACCAGCAGCTTTGACAATGGGTATCGACCCGCCATATTGGTGGCTTCTTTGTTGTTGAGCGATTTGAAGATACCGCTCTCGTTTTGAGGATCCAGCTGCTCAAGAGAAGCGATATAATGCAGAGCCGAGTTTGGGATGGTGATGCGAGGTATGATATTGAACTTGGAAGCTGACTCTCGCAGTTTGGGGATCAACAAGGCAATAAGCAAGAACGTGCTCACTACGTTGACGGTAATCGTTTTCTCGTCCTCCTCCGATACACTAAATGTATTGGTAGCCAGCCCGGCATTCGCCAACAGAGCATCAAGACGTGGTAGAGCTGCAGCACGACTGACAAAGCTTTTGACTGAGGTATAGCTATCCATATCCAGCTGCCACACTTCGACTGAGCTTTCTTCGCGGTCGGTGGATTTCAATAGTTCTTGTCTTGCAGATTCACCCTTCTTCAGACCGCGTACGGCCATGATCAACTTCTCCACACCTAGACGCAACAGATGGCGGCTGGCCTCGAAACCGAGTCCTTGGTTTGAACCGGATACGATGATTGTCTGTCCGCTGAGATCGCCTTCAGGATAAGGGAGTTGGATGAAGATGTTGGAGAACACTGTTGAAGATACACCCTCTAGTGTCGAAAGAATAGACATGGCTCTGTCTTGCTGGATCGAATAAGATGGAGAAAAAAATAAGAATGAGTATCACTGTTCACAACTCCAAATCAATGTCCAACAGATGCTTTTCTTGACGCTTTAAATAGAAAGCCCTCTCGCGTCCGGGTTTATTATAGCCGTGCTCGTCAATTCAATTCTATCTGCGACATTGAAAGACGCTTTATAGGGCTTTATTATCTCCGCCTACTTCGTAATATATTACACAGGCCCGTTTGCAGAAAAGGCGTGTAATTATTGATTTCATGTATCAATACCGTCAAATAACGGATTAGGCCGGGATGGAGATAATATCTCCGCGTCGCATAGCCCTCTCCCCCTTCTTTTCTATACTCCGAGATGATCTGTTGAATACGAAAGATAATTTGAGAATTTTGGTGGACTATCTAAGCCCATAACTAGAGATGTCTATGAAATTCGAAAAACGAAATCGACCGCCTCTGTCCTGTGAACCATGTCGCACACGGAAGTAAGCACATACTAGACCCTGGATCCGATCTCATAGACTCACCGTCGCTAGGTTGAAATGCAACAGACTTTCACCCTGTGATACCTGCATTAAACGCAACGTGCAGTCAGCATGTCAGTACGCTTCTAATGCTGTACGCGGCAAGATTCATACTTCAAGACAACGTGCCTTGAGCGATAGACTGAAGCGTCTCGAGGATTCAATCCAATCATTTGTTGCGGGAGAGAATGTGTTCCAGACATACCTGCAGCCACAATCAGGAGGGGTACATACGTTTAGTGAAGGTGGAAGCCTTCCTAGTTCTCATGGAGTTCTTGTCGCCCCGACTAGGCTGCCTACGAGCAATGAACCTCGCATCGGAGACCAACATCTTCAAGAGAAAGCGGTGCCCAACACTCTTCATACCCATCAAGGTAGAAACAGCCACGTTGATTCCAGTCACTGGGTTTCTATTTTGGAGGATATTAAGGAAGTTCGAGAAAGTTTGTCTGCCGTTGATCCCTTCTCTCTCATCGAGCCGGCAAGCGATGGTGGAAGTGAACATCCAGACTTGAGCCTTGCTCTTGGATCAGAACATCGATTGAACATCAAAGATATACTTGTCTCGCTACCCACGCGCCCTATCTGCGATATGTTGGTGTCCCGGTATTTCAATGCTCGGTACATGGTCCTAGGTGGGCTATCATTTGCAACTACCCTCCATTGTATGTCTGGCTGATTCTAGAACGATTGCAGGTATTGTGCACTCGGGAAAGTTTCAGGATGAAGTGAGTCACATTTTTGTGTTGTGCATCCCTTTGGGGGCTACCCAATGAAGCATCTCCTATCCTAACTGACCCGGGATAGTATGGAGAATTTTGGAAATCGCCGCAAAAGGCGTCCGTGCTTTGGATCGCGCTTCTATTCAGTATCCTTAGTGTATCGGTTCATCTTCGCCTAAAAGTGAACACAGACGGGACTTTGAATGGTTCAATTCCATCGCCCGATATCCTCCAACAAAAGGCAGCACAGTGCCTTATGCTGGGAGGATATAGAACAGCCAATGCGTATGCATTAGAGGCATTGCTTCTTTATACCCAGAGCGGCTTTTTGAGTGACATGAAAACTAGCTCCCGACAATGGTTCGACATAGGGATCATACTCAGGTTAGCATTTCGCATGGGCTACCACCGTGACCCTAGCACTCTACCAGGGGTGATGACGCCATTTGATAGCGAAATGCGACGCCGGGTATGGCTGCATATCTTCCAGCTGGACGCGCTCTTGAGTTTCCAGATAGGCCTTCCAAGCATGATACCAGCTGAGTGTTGTGACACCCATTTCCCCAGGAATCTATACGACGCCGATCTCTATGTTGAGATGTCGGCATTGCCTCCAACTCGACCGTCCTCGGAATATACTCCTGTCCTCTACGGTATCTCCAAGGCCGGGGTAATGAGCATCTTCAAAAAGATCGTTGCGCATACAATGTCGCTTGCAACGCCATCTCACAGCAGAACCATTACTTTGGATGCCGAGATGAGAGGCGCTTACACTCTGGTTCCCGACTTCCTAAAATGGAGAGACATCAGTCAATCTCTCATGGACTCATCCGAGGTAATCCTGAACCGATGTACGATCGAACTCCTGTACCTGAAAGGCCTCGTTGTTCTGCACAGGCGGTATATCCGATATGAGCACCAAGACGCCAAATCCGAGTCTTCACGACGCTTCTGTGTAGAAGCAGCTCTTGAAATCCTCGCCCGCCAAGCAGACATGCATCAAGCATTTCAGCCTGGCGGTCGTCTACAAGAAGACCAGTGGATGATTTCCTCACACACAATCTACGATTTCCTCTTAGCTGCGATGGTCATCTGTCTGGATCTATCTGTGCGCCTCGAATCTCATGCGACGGCGTTTGTAGACGAGCGCGCAGACCACGGCTTTGTTTCGAGGGAGATTGTTGCACTGAAAAACTCCCAACAGATTTGGGCTGCTAATAGTCACCGTTCGCCGGAATCTCGCATTGCGTCGCTTGCGCTGGACTTGATGGCCCGTAAGGTGGCTGAGCGTCAGGCTACCTTCTCGTGCGAGGAGGCTGCGTATATGGACATTCCTCACGTGAGCCTGGAGCTGCCCTACATGGAGCCAATGTCGGAAATGATTGATGGGTCTGAGACCCTAGACTGGGTAAGCCATTTCGCGGGTATTGAATACTGAACCGATCATGAATAATATCTAACCATTTTCCTCTCTTCTAGCTCTTGTTGGACCAATATTTTCAGAACTCTGGTCTCGAGGCGCCTCGAGACCCGAGCAATGATATGGGTGGGTTATTTACGGATGATCCTGGAACATTTGACTCTTGTGCATATTAGGTTTAGTATTAAAGTAGTGGTGAGATAGGGAAGGAAAGCTGTCTGACTACTTGTGCTTTACCAAATGTCAAAATTCACTACATATTTGGTTCCATTGTGTGCTGTGCAAAATCCAATTAATACTTTTGTACATTACACTGAGGATGACTGCTTGTCCCCGTGCATGCAATGGAATATCTCATCAACTCGTTGAAAAATAACAGGGGCATCATGGTGACGGAATCATGTTGATGTGCATTAGAAGGCTGGAAAGGAGATGCAAGGCATACTACGTATTCACAAATTCATCTTCGAGTGTCTGTGCCAGGTACATAGGGCACCTAGACGGAAACCCAACCCGACCACTAGTAGATGTAGAAAGAGGGCAAGGGCCTGGGCCCGAATGCTGCGTGTTGTGAAAGTAAATGCGGCAGATAGTAGAAGAGGGTAAAGGATCCAGGGACTGACGGCCAGCGGCGAGCATGGATGAAAAAGGGATGTGATCTTGACAAGGAAGAGAGCGACTTGCAAGGCAGGTGGTAGTGGGAAGGAGTCCCAAGACGCTAGGGAATTAAATACGGGGAAGCGGCTCGGTGGGGGTGGGAGAAGATAATCTTGAGGGACTGGTTGAGGCTGCGGATCGAGGGGTGATGATAATGATTCGTGAGGAGGTTGGGCTGGAGATGACGGTGATGAAGTAGAGTGACGATTCCGGACGATCATTTCTCGGTCTGGGCCGGAAGAAGGGCCCTCCTCTGGTTTGGGGTCGGACACAGGTGCTGCATTGCTTCGAAAATGACTGGAGTCAGGTATCGAGTCACGTCGGAGGGATGTTGGGTTTCGGCGCAGCTTTTTGGGAGATAGGGTTCGCTCTACTGATGGCTGTTGGTTATCCAATGGGCGGATTCGAGCCCCAGGCAGGTCGGAGCTTCCCGTGCTGGCTTTCCTGAAGCGAAAGTTTTCATTTGAATTGGCACCGACTTGGATGCCATTTAACACCTCGTCTGCTGAGGGTCGTCGGGCGGGATCAACCGAAAGCAAGCGCTCTAGGAACCGATACAGCTTTTCGGGGAGATCGGAGCGGATCGCTCTTGCGTGGTCAAAACCAGCCCAGCTGGTGATCTCTGCGCGGAGTTGATCCAAGTCCTCTTTTTCTTCGTTTATGAGGTCGGCATTCGCGTATGGAAGAGCTGCAAAACATAGGAAGTAAAGAATCATTCCGAGGGAGAAAATATCAGACTTGAACGTAAAATTACCAAATGGTCCGTCAGGATATTCTTGGCGAAGAACCTCGGGTGCACAGTATGAAAGAGTACCGGTTGCACCAGTCGACTTGCGCATTGCATTTTGAGACTGCACCTCACCGAAATCGCTGACCAAAACTCTGATGCCATCACCGGTCTCATGGAGCAGGCAGTTGTTTGGTTTCAGGTCTCGATGGATGTATCCATTGGCGTGAAGATAACGGAGTCCAGATGTGATATCACGGAAGAAAGAATAGATTTCATCTAGCTGGAGTGTGCGAGGTCCTCCCAGTTTGGTTCGAGGCTCCGGTTCGCCTTTAGATTTGCGGCGCAGGCGGTCCTTCAATTGTTGCGCAGTGGTCGAGGTCTGAACAGAGCCACAGATGTAATCATGCAGATCACCGGCATTGCAGTACTGCTGTAGAATAAATGCACAAGGCACACTCGGGCCGAACGTGCTTATCTTCGCATTTTCCAGCCAGACATGACGGTACGAGACAAGATTCTGGTGGGAGAGATGCTGCAGCAGCTGCACTTCACCCAGGACCTTTTCCAGCCACTCATGATCGTCGCCGACAGGGACACGCTTACAGGCATAGTGACCAAGTGACACACTGTCCAGGACATGCTTCACTAGGAGCACCACACCTTTTCCACCTTTGCCCAACACTCGTTCCTCCACAAAGAACCTCTTGAAGTAATCTGGACTAAATGCTGCAGAGGAAATTCCTTGCGGCGGTTGTGGCGATGAGGTAGGTTGGACGGGTGGGTTATTGATAGTACCACGGGGGTGCGCGGGCTGAACAAGGCGATGGCGTGGAGAAGGAGGAGACGAGGATGTTGCGGAGCTGGGGAGGCTATTGTTGAGCATGTGAAAGTAGTTTGGGTTAACGAATTCCCCTTGGGGTTCATTATCCCCACAATGTTGTTCTCTACTATTATCACGCATTGAGCGATGACAGAATGGGCAGTTGGCTAGCTCCATATTGTCATTGTCCGTATCTGAGGTATTGCGGAGAACGAGCTGTTGCGAATCATGGTCAAAGATGACTACCGAGTCATTGTGCCGCCTATTCACAATTAGATAACTAGTAGCATAAACTTAAAGAACACTTACAAAACAACATCAAGATTTCCTCCATTATAGGGGACCATAGACATGTCGGCGGGCATTCTGGAATGAATGTGGGATGACAATGGGGGAGCTGTCGATGACGATGTAGACCTGGGGGGCGGTGAGAGTACAGTGATGGATAGTGATTGCAGGTGGAACAAATCCCCTTTATATTCACTACATTTTCTACATTTCTTGTTTGTCCTCTTTTAGGGATCAGATCAAGATGTTTGATTATACATTATCCCCGAACACTCGAAGTTATAGCTAAATATAAACCGAAATCGGGTATCAGAACTGAATCGGCGAAACTAAACTAGGCTGATCTATGAGTGGGGTACAGCTTACACCAGTGGACAACCCACACAGTTGATAATCACCTCAAATACACAGAACTCCAATTTTAGTCCTGATTTGAATCTCAATGGACCCGATTTCTATCACCGGTCTCGTAATAGAGGTCAGCCATGTGCTGTCGAGCCTGATCAGATATGCCAAATCGGTACAGAGCGCAAAATCCGAAGTGCGGAAACTCACCGAAGAGCTATTTGCTCTCAAAGGCATCTTGGAGCACCTGGCAGCACAGATAGATGATATTCCCAAATGGCAGGAATCAGAAACAAGCCCATTTGATGGCGACGTCATGGCGAGAGTGTTGCTTACAACAAATGAGTTCCTTCAATCCTTACTCATAGACTTGGAAGTGTCCGAGACCAAGTTTAAGCGCCTCAAGCAAGCTCTGAAATGGCCATTTACTCAGGCCGAAGTCAGCGAGCATCTGATCCGGCTGGAAAGGGTCAAATCGTGGTTGATACTGGTTCTCACTGCAGACCATAATTCGGTGGATCGGGAGATGCAGCAGGAGGTTCGTGATCTGACAAACACATTAAAAGAAGACTTGGAGGTTCGAGCTCAAGAGCGAAACAAATTGGCCAACAGAGAGCTACTGCGATGGATAGCTCCTGTGAATCCCGAAAGCTCTCATCTGCGGGCCTCAAAAAGACATAGAAATGGGACTGGTAGATGGTTTATCGACGGTCATTTGAAGACGTTTCTCGATCAAGATGAAAATCGAGCTTTCTTCCTCTTAGGAAAATGTATGTACCCATTGCAACTTCGAAGAAATTTCACTGATATAGTTCTGAAGCCGGAACTGGAAAAACCACACTGTTGTAAGTTCCGTTTGGGAATTGGGTTGCTTCTTATATCTGACCTTCGCTAGTGCACAAGTTGCCGACGAACTTACTTATATGGCTTCCCAAGGCCAATCCATGTGTCTTGCGTATTTCTATTGCACAATTAGCGATTTTGCCTCTCAGAATGCAAGGAATGTTCTGGGATCACTTGTGGCACAGCTCTCCAGAACAGATCCTTCAATATTGGATGAGATTCGGTCTATCTACCACAAAGGCCCAAAGAATCAGGCGCACAGGTTCCCTATCGAATTACCTGTTCTCGAAGCTGCCATCGTCAAATCTGCCTCTGAAAAGACAAAGGTTGTCCTTTTGATTGATGCAATCAACGAAAGCCATGATATGCAGCTTCTTGAAGCTTCCCTTCTCAAGCTTGCCAGTCTGTCCACGAACATCCGCGTGCTTATAACCACTACAAGTACCATGAGTTCCATCAATCACGACAATGTATCTTTCTTGAACATAAGTGGAAAGTCGCGAGGGGACATTGATACCTTTGTCAAATACCGACTTGAGACTGATGATACATTGAGAACCTTGGCACCAGAATTCAAAGCGGAGATTGAATACACTCTTTGTCGGGATGCCGATGGATCGTCAGTATACTATCTTCTTACTGTGCTTTCTGTGGTCTAATTATCTCTTCGCAGATTCCGCTGGGTCCAGCTCTCATTGGACAACCTGAGCACGCAGCGATCTGTAAGGGCGATGCGGCAGGCCTTGAAGAACCTTCCAAGTACTTTACGCGAGACATATGCAAATATGTTAGGAAGAATTGCCCCTGACGATTGGAAGATTGCTCAAGAGGCCCTCTTTTGGCTCAGTTTCACCAAACAGCCTCTTACTTTGGGGCGTCTCAACGAAATTGTGGTCATGGACGAGACAAGCATGACACTCGATGAGGATATGATGCTTGTCCCTCCGCATATTCTTCTTGAAATATGCCAAGGACTAATCACTGAGGACCAAGATGGGTATCTTAATCTCGCGCATGCGTCTGTCAAGGACTTCCTCACTTCTGATTGGATTCGCTCATCTCGAGTTCAATATTTCGCCCTGGATCCTAGAACTGCAGATCTTAAAGCCATGCACGGTTGTCTCACGTACCTATGTCTCGACAATTTTGCAAAAGGATACCTGACATGCCCCGAAAACCCAGCCAAGTTACGAGAGGATCATCCTTTCATGGCTTACGCCGCAAACTTCTGGCCCCAACATGGTGCCGCTTGTGGCTTTGGGGATTCTGAGCAAGCCATGGTCCACAATTTCTTTGCAACAAGGTCTCTTCCTGGCCGTGGCAATTATGGAACCTGGATGCAGGTGTTGCTCCGGACAACCGCCGGTTCAAACACGAATGACGCTGTGGTCATTGACAGAACGCATCCTCTATACTACGCTGCCTCGTTTGGAATGGTTCAAGTCGTCGAGTCTATTCTCGCTTCCGAGCCAGACATCGATATCAATTCTCGTGGCGGCCGTGTTGGAGCCACAGCAGTGTGGATTGCCAGTCTTCGGTTCAATTTTGAAGTTGTGGATATTCTCTTGCGTGCTGGGGCTGATCCATCTATTCGGGATCCAGGTAGTGGGCTTAATGTACTTGATCTATTGAGGATGGTGCCAACCCGACATCGAAGCTACGAGGGTCTTCGGCCTATTTTGGCTCGTCCAGCGCCTTGGAAGGAGTTAGAGCGTGAAGCGAGGAGAAAAAGGATTGAATCTTACAATCAAATAGGAAGCCAGCTAAATAGCTAGTTAGCTGGCAACGAGGCACCTAGGCACTCAGGCAGGTGGCTGTCTTAATAGAAGGATCAATTTAAAGAATGTGGAAATGTGTTACATTTGATCAAGCATGTCGCTATTTTCTGCCACGCTTCTCTCCCCGGATTCAACCCATGGTTGAAGAGCGGAACCAAATCCTACTATCGGGTGGCAAGATTGGATTATAGAGCAACATGTACGAAGATACCAATTATAATTACTCAGAAGATGGTTTAAGTGGAAATAATTTTCATTCATTTTGATTCCTCATCGAATCGGGTATCTGAGTTGGAGCTGGTGACGGGAAAACACCAAAACGCCTAGGGTGGTACAAATTATGTACTGGGATGCTCACGATTGACGCGGCTTTTGTATTACAGGCACTCTTCAGGCCTGGGCGACATGTCGCAGGGCAGGCTTCAGACTTATGTGCGATAAAACACATGTCAGATGCCTTGTGGAGAGCCAAGTCCGCTCAATGCGGAAATGGGGAGGAATGACCCGGCTAGAAGCTCTGTTTCAAGAGCTAGCATAACCGATCTCATGGCGATAGACTATTCGTCTTTCGCGGGGCGGGACAGGAATAGGAATGACACTCGTGTCGTAGAAAACGCCGAGAGATCAATCACTCCTCGCCACTCTCCACGTCGCTGACCTCCAAGTTGGCGATCGAATCGTCATCGCTGTCCGCGGGGTCGACGGTCTCGTCCTGGGCAGACTCTGACTCGGCCTCAGCCTCGGCTTCCTTGGCAGCAGGCTCGTTGTTTTCATCCAACTTGCGCTTTCGGGGCATCTCGCCGAGTGCACCTTCACGGCCCATGACACCCGCCTGGTCCTTCTCTCCCTTCTCGCCCTTGCCGGTACCCTTGGGTGGGGGTGTGTACCAAGGGATCTTTCCACGAAGGAAATCGTTGATAACCATCTTGGCGACACCATCCAGATCGGCTTCACCTCCCTTGAGGAGACGACCACCCTGGCGAGCAAGAAGCGCGAGCCAGTCGAGGTAATCCTCCTGGTGCTTGATACCGTAGGTACGCTCAAGGTGACGGGGCAAGACACGGCGAAGAACAGCCGGAATGTATTGCTCTGGGTTGTGAACGTTCTCTACTCTGCAGACTCCACGGAGAAGGATGTCCTCCTCGGTGTCGTTGGCGTTGGGAGGAACCACACCAGGACAATCGATGAGGTAGATTCTCTTCATCAGGGTGATATACTGCCACACCTTGGTTTCACCTGGAATGGGAGCAACTGTGCACACCTTCTTGGCTCGGAGAGTGTTGATGATAGAAGACTTGCCCGTGTTGGGGTAGCCGATCAAGCCAACAGACACTTGCTTGCGGTCGGAGTGAAGGGACGAGAACTGGCGAAGCAGCGAGATCAAAGAACCCTTACCGAAAGAGTTGTTGATATTGGCATGGAAAGCAAGACAAGGGTAGTCCTTAGAAAGATGACGAACCCAAGCGGCCTAGTCAAAGATGCAAAGTTAGCAATCAGTCACCAGCAATGAATGAAACATTGTGTAAAGGCAGAAATGTGTGGGATGTTACTAAGAATTCTGCTACAATGCCACCAAAAAAAAAGGCAGAAGCAGACTTCTACTCAAAAACAAAACACAGCTGGCCCTTGCGACAGGCCTTCAAGACGAAAGCAAGTCAACCTAGGTTCATAACGAAATTCGGTGCGGGCCAGTGTTAATATACCAAAGCTGTAACAGACGGAATTCCATTGAAACAAGCACGACCGGAGTTGTGCACGACCGAAGTCGCAGGAAGAGGCCTTGACTTAGCGATGGAACGGGGGGATAACAGAAAAACGCAGCAAAGCAATAAAAGCAATAACGGGGTGATGAAATGGGACAGCAAAGGGGAAACGGTGAAACTTACAGCAACGCCAGTGGGGACGAGATCGCACTTGTTCAGAACGAAGATCAAGTGCTTGTGTGGTGCCTCTTCGCGAACGTATTTCTCAACACTTCTGCAACGAGTACCCTCGGGATCACGGGAATCCAGGACATGAATGATGACATCGGAAGAATCGATAACCTTGTAAAGTTCGTTCCAGATACGCTTACTCTGTCCCTTGGAGAAGACAGATTCACGGGAGGTAGTGAGTAGACCCAAGTCTTCGACCGCGGCAGTATCATCACCGCGAACAATCGCACTTCCATCAGCGTGGGTTCCCTCATCATTCTTCTCAATGTAGGTGTCCTGCAACTTGGCTGTCTCGCCAGCGAGGTCTTCGAGGGACGACACACCAAGCTTGACGCGCTTGCGCTGAGCCTTGGGGCCGAATGTATCATTGAAAGGAGAAGTCTCAATGGCCATCTTAGCCTGGTGCTGCTTCAGACCGTTGACCTTATCATTGTCCCGAATCAAGCTCATGGGGAGCTTGTTGGTCTTGAGAAGAACTTGGTACGGGTCGGCGGCACGCTCAGCAACAGCGTCACGGAACGAGGTCAGAGCCTCTTGTGAGATAACACGGGAGTTAGCAAACCATTTACGATTTGGCTCGATACGGGCTGTCGGCAACTCTTTGGATTGATAACTCGCGGCGACTGTGATATCACCCTGTGCGTTGCGGCGAGGCGTGCCATCCTTGAACATGTTCAAGGTCTTAATTTTCTTGGCATCGCTGGGAGGCAAGTCAGTATTGATTATTCGAGGATAATAGGGGTTTTGGCTGAGGCTGAACATACCGGTAAAAATTTTCACCTTTGGTCTTGACATTGGCCATGCCATCGTTGGGCTTCCCCTGCCGCACTTTACGAGCGGCCTCCTTCTTTCCTGTACCCATGATAGCGGTTGTGGGTTGAAATGTGAAAGGAGAAATAAGTGCCTGACGAAAAAAAAATCGAAGGCAAGACCAAACACGAAGATTGGCAGAGTGCAAAGAGAAGAAGAAGAAAAATAAAAGGCGGCGAAGGAATTATTTTTTTTGGCGCCAAGACATTGCCGTGCACGGACCAAGGGAAAATCGCTTCTTGTTTCTTCCGACTTGCTCGACCGCGTATCCTCCCTATTATACAGTAATCAACCTCAGGCTACATCCCGGCTTAATTGAAGGTCGTGTCATTGGCCTTTGATTCAATAATTTACTTTGCAACAATCCCCTGTCTGTTTTATCACTCCCCGGAGTGACAGGGTTGAATTGCGCCGCATGTCTGTCCTCCGCAATAGCCGGACTGCCACTGTGCAGGTCCGTGGATTTGCTTCCTCCTCCAACCTTCGAGTCGGACCAGAATCCCCTCACTTCATCGATGTGCCGAAGATTATCCAGCCCACCAACCCCCGCAAGCCTCATGTCAGGGGTACACTACCCGTGCCTCGCGAGCTCTTCCCGGCCCGCCGAGCGGACAAGCCCCGGATACAATACCTCAATGCAGCCACACAACTCCCCAAGTCGGAACGCGTAGTGAGCCTCAAGAGCAGCAACCCCGAGAAGCAGGAATGGAAGCACAAGATGGCCGATCTGCGGAGACAGAACCTACGGGACGGTCTGCGAGACCTGTACTCGCGCAAACGGTCCGCAGATTCCAAGATTTTCAGCCGCAGTCTGGAGAGTCAGAACCGGCGGGACCGCATTCTTCAGCAACCTGAGCGTGAGGACGAGCGTCTCACTCGGCCATCGGTTATCGAGGCCATGATGCCTCACAAACAGCCAGTTTACCCCGACCCCAACCGCGAGGAACGCCTTGCGCTCTCTCGGGCACGTCTGGAGGCCAAGCAGGCACAGAAAGAGGCTGAGCGGAAGGAGCACCTCCAGTCGTTGTATGTTAATGCTCGCACTTTCATTACAACTGAGGAGCAGCTCGCTGCTGAAATTGACCGGGTATTCCCCGAGGGCGAGAACCAGGCGTGGCGCAACGACCACCAGCCCGGCGAGAACATCTGGAACCTGGGTACCCCCCAACTGTGTACAACCTTGCCAACAAGACCCGCTCCAACGAGGCTGTTCGCTGGGATGTCTCTCAGGACCGTGTCAAGAAACTTGGCGAGGCACTTACTGGAGGTAAGATGCGAGAGTAATCGTTTTTTTTTTTGGCATCATGTACAATATCTATTAAGCTATCACACTTCAAAGCTCAATCAAGAGATCCTTTGAGATCCTTCCATTTTTCACGTCGAGTTCCCGCTGCGCTTTAATGGCAGCGCGAGTAAGGTTCGTCTAAGAGTGAAGACAACTCAACAGCGAGATTACATCAAAGCAAGAATCACCCGAGTCTCACCTGGCGAGATGGATACCACATACGGAAGTCTTATAGGGCCTCAATGTTGCACTTCTTCAAAAGGATCTTCGGTGTGGCATTGTTTAGCTTGGCTTCAGATTGTGTGCTACTCTAGGCCTTGAATCCCAAATAATAAATAATGACGAAGAAATGTTAAATATGAACATGGACATTGATGTATCTTAGTATGACTAGGAATGAACAAGAGACAAGAGACAATAACATAGTGGACGCATATAAGAAGACAACAATAGAAGTAGAATCATAACAAGGGACCTTAAAGAAAGAAAAGGTCCTCAGATAATTCCTCGGACAATAGAGAGCTATCTCTGTGAAAAGAACAAAAGATTGGCTCAAAGAGCACGGTGTTCAGCTCCTGAATGGTCGATGGAGAACCCAAGAAAGTACAGTCTGTATCCACAGCGGTCGATGTTGGGCACTACCCGAAGGTGTACCACCGACATGCTTCGTGCCATTAGATAGGACGGGTGGTCTCAATCTAGTTTCAGCCTAACCTGGACCGCGTCAAAGATCCAATCAGTGCCCTCAATAAATCATTGGACGTGAGACTGAACTGTTGAGAGAAGAGAAAGGAGAAAGAAGAAAGAAGAAAGAAGAAAGAAGAAAAAGTGGGAGGGGGCAGGTATTTATACCCCAGTGCCTTAAGGCGATGGGGGAACTGGGGTAGGTGACGATGTTCCCGAATAGGAAGGCACCTCAGATTAGGAAGGTACGGGCTTATCACATCTGCTGGCTTTTTTTTCGGGATAAGTACAATGCAGACTTGCCAATCTGATTCTCTGTCTATACTACATTCAGCTGACTCCAGAATTCAGGATGATTTGAACCAATTCAATAATGACTACAGTATCACCTCGCTGGTATTCTTCATCACATACACGATCTTCCAGATCCCCAATTTGCAAGATCGGGCCCAAGCCTTTCTCTCGGGCATACACCATCCTATTCATGTTGACCACCATAGCCACCATAGCCACCTACTCGATTGCATACTTCCTGCCGATCATCCTAGAAAGGAGCATGGGCTTTTTCAAGGCTCATTGCGCCGCTGCGGGCTGTTGCCGCAGTTGTCATGTTTATCAATTTACTCGGATCAATGGCGTGTGAGTGGACCATTTCTTGTTGGAAATGCGATGACTGGGTTTCTTGGGCATGGGGTATCGGGATATCTTGAGGATCCGACATCCGGTACTGTGAGAATTTCTTAGCTACTATTGCAGGTGAGTGAACTATCATGGCTGTGACTTGACTGGCTTGTGTTGGCAGAACTCGAATTGTCCGGCGCTGGTATCTTGATAAAGGTAAGAGCCTTGCCTCTCAATTAGTCTGGTTCTTGTTGTACAATTCTGGCATGGAATAACATCCACGGTCAATGGAAGCGGGCCTTGACATCGGTCACACTCACTGGCAACCATCAGTTGGGACAATATGTGATGCAACCTAATAGAAAATTATATATACGCTTGGAAGTCTTTGAAGTATAAGGGACTCGGAACCAGACAACCGATGTCTTTCGCTGGGGGTTCAACCTGATTGCATTGTTGATAGCGGTCTCAGTCGGGGGAATATGAGTTGGCCCTTTCTGGCCTGCTTCTCTGATGGCCTCATTGTCAAACCTCAACCGTGGGAGATGTGTGTTCTCGCTGGCGGCTGGGTAACAGCTTGTAGTGGGTGTAGCTAACAAAATATAAGTTAGCAGACATGTTGATCAGACAAGGGAGTGCGGTACTAACTGATGGTTTTGATTTGTGACAAATGCGATGGAATCTCCAGGGCTATATAGGTAGGCATGTTGATTGACAAATGGATGAACTTAGATCAAATTGTGTGTTGATCCTGTATCAATGATGAAAGACTTCCAAGGTTGGAAACAAACATGCAGTCCTGGCCTAAAGCAACCACCCAACCATCATGGCAGTATCACCATATGTATCTACCACGCATCTTATACTACCCTAGGGATGAATTAAAAGGTACGAAAATAATCCCATCGTATTCCCCTGTATACGCATAGGCCTAAGATACAAATCATGCCCACCAAGGCCCTTTGGCGCACAGAAAAAGACCAACGCAAGGTTTCCAAGCGCGAGAGAAAATGAAGTGTAACCTATTATCTACTAACAACAGCAGGTGGCCTAGTGATGACATGACAATGTGTACCACGAGGGAAGTGCCCAAGATATTCCACTATCTGACTGTTCCGGTTCGATCCGTCGAGACCGCTCTTAATAAATACCCTCTTTTTTTTTGCTCCATTCATTCTCATAATAATCCTCGTCTTCCATCTTTATTTTCAACTTCATCATCTCCAGATTATATTCCGCCAGGTGTATACTTCGGACCGGAACATAAATGCCCCAGGCCCATACTGCACGTGATCCAGATAAGCCGATAAGCAATTTTCCCTCCGGCAACCCACCGCCGAAAAAAGAAACAGAAGCCCAGAATCACTTCGTGCTGCTGGCAGTGCTACTTTACAAAATTTGCCCATCTCTTCCTCTTGTGTCCATCTACATACCAACCCTCTCCAACCTACCTCACCCCAACACAACCATGGTGCAGGGATCATTGAAGAAAAACGGTCCCAGCGGCCCAGGCAGGAAGTAAGTGCCACTCCAGACACAAAACCACAGGCGACAGTCACAGTCCTATCCACCCACACAGGAACAATTGAACAATTAACTAACACACCCCCTCACTAGGCCCGCCAAGACAACCAGACCTGGTGTCCGCTCCGTCGCGCCCAAGAAAGCCGGCCTGATCAAGCAGAAGAAACTGACCAAGGTATGCACCAATTCGCTTCCGGTTTTCTCGATGCAGACCGCAATCTGTGCCTTCGATACAAGCACGGGAATAAAACAATACAAGCTCAAAAAGAACAACCACTAACACACCGCTCTTTAGCAACTCACATCCGGTCTCGTCTCAATGACAGAACGCAGTCTGGCGACAAAGGCAGGCCATCTCGAGCTGTTGGCTGGTGGAAAGAAGGACCGTCTGCAGAAGGAGCGTAATGCTGCTCGTAAGGATGGTACTTTGGCTCGCAAGGAGACTTTGAAGTCTGGACCCAAGAAGGCGACTTGAAGTGCGGGGATTTAATGGAGATGTTTTTTTTTGTTTGATTCGATCTTGTTTGCAGTTCGTCTATCTAGAGCTCGTTATATGAGTGCATGAAATCGATACCCAGTTTCTATTGTCTTTTGTTTGATATCTATGCATACATAAGAGGGCACTAGTAGGTACATGTAGGTAGTATAAGATGGATGCGAGATGAAGTAAAGAAGAGAGGCAGTGTATATATATGTTGATAAATAATAATTCCATGTACAAATCTTGGGAAAATCAACTGAGTAGAATATAACATGCGCGAAATCATCAAATCATAAGGCAGATCTTGTATGTAAAAGTCATGATGCATCCAATAGAAACAAGAGAAACGAAGAGATCTCGAAGAAAAGGAAATAAACGAAACAAAATAAAGGGTATCTATAATTCCAACTCCAATGCCATTACCATCCAAACCATATTCGCAGACAAAGTCTGCCATCCCAGTCTCAGAACTTCGAGATGCGGCTCGGAACACCAGCCTGCTCAATCAGGTCCCGGCCACGATCCATCCAACCATTGAAGCCACCATCACTGGAGTCCGAAGGGAAATCATCCCAGACGGCATTCTCCGAGTCCGCATACGTCGACCAGATGCCCTTGGGGACATCGGCCGCCGACCACGAGGGCAGCTTCGCCAGCACGCATGTGTAGTAGACGTAGAGGATGCGGCAGAGCAGCTCGACACGGTCAATGTAGTGCTGCGATGTGGGATCGGGGTTCTGGCCACCGTCGCCGAGCCGCTTCCACCAGCTCACGCGCCATCGCAGCGTTAGCAGGATGTGGCCGAGTTCGCCGAGGAAGCGTACGTGCGTCTCGTGTGAGATCTGCTTCCACTTTATGTTGTAGAAGTCGCGCTCGAGCTTGCGGAAGCCCTCGACTTCGAGCATGCGGCAGAATATTCGGGAGAGTTGCGCTGCGAGGAGGATCTCGCGTCGGTCTTCTGGGCTGTTGATGTCCATTGTTCGTTCTTCAACTGCTGGGTCGAGGGACACGAAGCTGTATTTGGCGCGGCTGGGCATGTTGTTCCACTGGGAGAGGAGGGTCTGAGGGTGGTTAGCTTTTATGCTCTCGTCATGTGGGACAGTGGACACTTACGTAGGCTTGGTTCATTGGGTCGCAGTCGGCAACGCAGGACAGCCAGTTCTTGGACTTGTCCTTCGAGTCGACAATACGTCGGTCGATGAACTCTAGGAAAGTGGACTTCGAGTTGCCGTTGTACTCGCTCAGGGCTTTCAGGAACTTGTAGGTCTCTCCCAGGTCGAGGACGTAGAGAGAGCCCCAGGCCTGGCTAGCGCGGATGTTGAACCGCCCCTGGCGCTCGGCGAGCAAAGACAAGAGTTGACTGAGGTCAAATTCAGATGGAATCTCCATCCGGACTCGGTTGGAACCATCCATCGTGGGGTGGTTAACAGCTCGTTGAGCTAGATAGGGTTAGTCAATTTGAACAATCCATAGGGGAGGTTTGATCGATGCTTACAAATGTAGTTGCAGGTTCCAAACTCGACAATACTAGAGAAGCATGCACGAGCGCATGGTTGCTCATGAAGTGTGGGGCGACAAGCATCGCAGGGGGCGCTTCCGTCACACTGCAAACACGTTAGCTTTATGAAAATATAGAATTTAGATGGGAATGCTTACCTTGCGCTTGTTCAGTCGACACTGAACACAAGTATCCTTGTTTTTTCTGCGCAGACCTGCATTGGCCCGCCCAACCATACTCAATGGGCCCTTGCGACGAGCGCCGCGTGGGGGCGAGACAAAGTCCGCAGACGCGATGGAGCCGCCTTGGCCATCCTCCTGGACAATTTGCAAGGGCCTTGCGATGCCTTGATCCAGTGAGGCAGGGTTTCTGGCCTTGCGCTTCTTAATTGTAGCCGAGGACTGCATGGCAAGTGGTGCGGGTCGACCGGCACGCTGGCCAGCAGTCGACGAAGCCCTCGACCTTGAAGCAACAGTGGAGACTAGAGGCTCCGCGGGGGTCTCACTCACCATGAAGGCAGTGGTCTTGAATGCAGGCTGCGACCCCTCCGGTGAACTGGATTCATGTGGTGAGGTCTTCCACTGGACATCGTCGTCTTCCAACTGGCGGTCCGCAAATGCCGGCGCTTCGTCGCTAGTGGCGGAGTAGGAGCACTCGTATATTCCCGACATATCGCCCGACACCGAGGAGTTTTCAGATTTGAATTGGAACTCCTGTCCCATTGGAACATTTCGGGGGCTAGTAGCTTGAGAGACCGGCGTGATCTGTTGGGTGGGCAGTTGGGATTCCAAACTATTGAGCCATCGCGATTCCAGCGATCTGATAGAAGTCTGGAACCCTAGGGAGTGATCCTTGGGGCTTTCCTGTGCGTCCAAGGAGAGTGGCATGGACTCTTGCGGCGGAGGCATATTGTCCACGGGAATACCATGTTGAATTTCAGTCCACTGCTCGGGGATCATGGGGAAGGACTGCGGAATCTGCTGGAACGACATGATACCCTCGACCGGGGCATCCGAGAAACCACCGTGAGGCATCTCCCCAAGATCATCGACAATGACGGCGCCATTCGCGTTGCTCGGTCCTTTCGCGTAAGGGTAGAGAAGAGACGCGTCCATCGGCATGCTGACTGAGTTGTACAGTTGAAAGTGTGGCCAAGCCTCGTCGGAATGGAAATTCTCATCGGCGGAAGATGGGATGGTCTTGGGGCTGAGAGTGCCACTGCCAGTACCCTCAATGAAGCCATCGGGGTAGCTCATGTTCTCGGATGCTACATCGTGCTTTCTGCAACAAAACAAATGTCAGCCCACATCAACATCGCACTTGGCGGGCTCGCGTCAGGGGGTGGATTCGGACCTGTTCTCCAGACGACGGTATTCACCGGTCAATGGGCCATGGAATGTGCCCAAGTCCGCGATATCCGCATCACATTGGCTCGATTCCTGGCTGGTGTCCCACTCGGGGGGTTGGTCGTAACCCAGATGTTCCCATGAGGCGACAGAAAAGGCGCCTTCCGTTTGCCAGTTGTCTAAGATTTTGGGGTCGATCCCCGCAGCGGTCCCAGTACTTCCACAGTCCATACAGGATGAGAGGGTAAGGTTGCGGCGACGACCTAGTTGAGCAAAGATCCCAAAAAGACTTGCTTTTTGAGACTTTGCAGGTACGGGCGGGGTGACAGAATGGAGTGTCGTAGGTAAGGGGGGCGAAGATTGGTCGAAGTGTTTATCTCGAATGGATATGTTGAAGAGGAGAGGGTTGAGGGGCCAGAGGATTTGTTGAAGGGCTGACGGGATTCCCCACCTCAAGATTTTCTGCGATCGTCTCTAGCGTGTTGTTGGCACAGACCACTTTGGGATGTCCGTCCTCCGTACGGAGTACAACATATGATTTAATAGATTTCGAGTCGGCGATTTAATAATTGTGAATTGAATATAGATAATTCTAGGAAATATAGGAATTATGGGAATTATAAGAAGTATCAAGCACTATATACCCTATTTACACTACTATGAGAGGGAGAGTATATAACTGTGTCGATCTCTTTTACGAGAGGAGCTTTGGAGATAATGTCAGAGAAACTCCGCGCGCCTGTAAATGGTCTAGGAACATGAGAGCGTAAAATAAAAGGAGTACGGAGTTCTCAAGTCCAAAGTACCTGTGAAACCCCAAGCCGTGCCAAGCGCGCATAGAATTTTCCACTGCAGATTTTCTGTCCAGACCTTGTTCTACCGTGTACGTTGCAGCATTGATTACATCATCTTTTAAACTTCTATAGTTAAAGGGCTTAGAAGTATAAGCCCTTATAGGTATAGAACGTGTTGTAGATTATATGAGTTATTATATCTGTATATCTATCCCTAAACATATGTATAGGGATAATATATCACGTACTTAGGTGTCAAGTACTACTTGGCATATGAATGACTATAGTTAGACTAGTAGATCTAGTTAGTATAGACAATGAACTATTTACATCCTACATGATTTCGCCCTCCACGGCTTATATAGTACATATTATAGGGATCCTTCCACTATATCAAATAATAGCACATGCTCAGCATGCCGAGAGAAAACCGAATCGGTTCACCGCAAGCTGAATTCGGCCCTACCATTGCCGTCCCCGCAGCCTGAAGGACCTCCCCCAATGCCCCGGTGTGTAATTCGGTGTGGCCAATGGCTCATTCCTTACCCTGATTTCCCCCCAGGTATAAGTGTCCTGCACCCCGAATATTTCCGGGGGTGCAGAATATTTCTTTCTTGATGTTTCTGATTCTCTTATACAAAAAAAAAATTCAGAAAAGAATCTCAAAAAAAAAAACCGTTCGAACCGCCGGGGAACCTTCACCGAAAATCAAGATCCAGATCGAATCTCAAATATTCACACATAACGCCCTTGGCGCTGCTTAATCCCGCCCGATATGCACATCCTGGTAAGTGAGGTCATGGGCAAATTTCCTTTCTTTTTCCCTTATCCTGGAAACTGTAAACGCCATTTCCTGCAAGGATCGACTTTATAGATCCATATTTCCTCGGCACATTGCCACATGACATCCACATTCTTCTATCTTTTTATCCCAGCACGTTGCGCAACGTAAATATAAAAAAGCAAAAAAAAAAAAGGGCAAATAAGCTAACAATCCAAAATAGGTAGTCAACGATGATGGTCCGCCAAGCACCAAGCTCTCACCATACCTTCGACCGCTGATCAACACCCTCGAAGCAAACGGCCACCAAGTCTCCGTAGCAATCCCCGCAGCCTCACGCTCCTGGATCGGCAAAGCCCACCTAATCGAGGCCTCCCTAACAGCCAGCTACGTCCACCCAGACGCCTTCCACGCCGACGGCAGCTGGGACACGAGTTTCGAATCCCCAGACCCGGAAAATGACTGGGTGGTGATCCGCAACGGCACACCAGCCAGTTGCGCGCAACTAGGTCTATACAATCTGTTCAGCGAGCGCGCACCCATCGACCTCGTCATCTCGGGCCCGAATCACGGCCGTAATGCCTCCACCATCTACAACCTGTCCTCGGGGACGGTAGGCGGTGCGTTGGAGGCTGTGTTCTGTGGGAAGCGCAGTATTGCCATCTCGTTTGGTAGCAAGGACCCGCAGGCCGATGATGTTATTGCCGCCGCGGCGAGACTGGCTGTTAGGGTTGTGCGGCATCTTTATGAGAATTGGGATGACCGGGTCGAGCTTTATAATATCAATATTCCCATGTGTCTTGATGTTGAGGAGAGGCCGGTATTGTATACGCGCACGTTGCCGTATTATTGGTCCAGGGGGTGTTTGTATGCTGAACAGGGGACGGGGAAGAAGGTTAATGGTGTGAATGGTGTGAATGGTGTTCATGTCAATGGCGAGACGAATGGCACGAATGGCACGAATGGCACGGCTGTTAATGGACATACCCCTGCGTCTTCCAGGCAGCGTCAGTTTAAGTGGTCTGCTGATTTGTCGGATATGAAGAAGACGTTGCAGGAGAGTGAGGTGGGCACTGATGCTCATACTGTGCTCAATGGGTCGACTAGGTAAGAGATTGGTTTCTTTTTGCGCTGCTGGAACCAAATATATGCTAATGCTGTGTCTAGTGTGACTGCCCTCCGAGCCAATTTCTGGCATGTTCCCGGTCTTGAAGGACCGCTGAACCTTGATTGTTGAAGTTCTTGAACAGACTCTGAATGCTTTGGATGAGACTACGATACCCGCAATGGTTTTCGAAAATGCATAATATGGTGATATATAGGGAGAACGGTCCGTTTTGTACATATACGGGAATTGCATACATGATTTTCTTTTTTTGCAAGTGATTTAATAGTCATTTACTGTTATTCTCGCTGCCAGACAGCCTGGCGTAACAACTGAAATAACCTAGAAAGAGAAAGAGAAAAGCTAGTGCAGGTGTATCATATAAACGACAGGAGATGCTGAAATAAGAGCGTCAGCTCTTGAGCTCGGTATAAAAGATCACAATGGTCCTAGAGCGCGCGCGCAGCTTCGCCTGCGCCACTATCCACAGTCGACACCTGCTCAGCCCGCATCTTGCCCTTGCTGACACCTCCCTCACCGACACCCATCCGTCGAGCGACGTATCGCTGCGCGATAATACCAGCGGTCAGTGAGAGAGTTTCCTCAATCCACTCTGAAACCCACTCGCGAGGGTCGACACCTCCACTTTCGATGACCTCGGCGATGGCTTCGGGCACCACAACACGCTGAGCGTTCGCATCCTCGGCGTCGGGGTTCTCAGCAGCTGGGACCGAAGCATCGAGCCATTCAATCCATGTCTGCGGGATACTCTGAGAGATGGCGTGGAATGCAATGCCATGGATGGGGTCGTGGAGGTACAGCGCGAAGGATATCTCCTCTTCTTGCGTATCAGCTTCCACAGCTCCTTCTGTAGCCGGTTCGCCCGTAGCGCCCGCCTGGAAGAGGTCCTTGGAAGTAGTCTGGCTGATAGCCTGAATAGCCAAGAAGATATCGCTGCTGCGGACCGGGTTCGATTCACTCAGGACTTCTGAAGCGTGTTTCGCGGCCTCTTCAACTCCGCCACGAGACGAGAAGTACTCGTTAGCGTAGGACTCGGCGCTGGCTCGAGCGAGCTTGGAGCCTTCCACGGTGCCTCGCACGGAAGAGATGGTCCGCGGTTGTCCAGGTGTGACCGTCCGCCACCAGGGCCCGTCATTCCAGCCGGCACTGCTCATGTAGCTGGTAACATCGAGCCCGCGCTTCGGGGATGACTCCTGACCCCGCTGGATCACCAACAAGTCCCCACCCTCGACTTGGGACATCACTCGCGAGAATACCGCATAGACTAGCGGGTCGATGCCCGGGTAGCCAGACATATCATGAGTCACGTGGATTTGTAGACGTTCATGCGAAGAAATAGGAGGAGCGAGGGTGTGGATGAGATTGGTGAATGTCGGGATTGCCCTGTTTCGAAGCTCGCCGCCTGCATGTGCCAGTTAGCTCTGTCTGCATGTAGGATAGCATATTTTGAGTAGGAGAATCTATACCAAGATCGCGAAGAGCTCCAACATTGCCCTTGACCTGCTGAGCCCACTTCTGGGCCTCCTCGTTATTCTGAATTTCTTTGACAGCCGCCTCGGCCTGCTTCATAGCCGCGGTGGCCGTTGCGAACAGCCCTCCCGACCATCCACCCCACCAGCCGGCACCCTCTTCAGGTGATTGCTGTGCGGGGACATTCTCAGGCTCAGCCTTGGGCTGTTCCGGCTTTGTTTCTGCGCGTGAAGACCGGCCCGTATCCTCAGACTGGCGGACAGGCGCTTTGTCCTCGGTCGGTCGGTCGATGGTCGCGCTTGGGCGGGGAGATCGTGTAGATGATCTAGGTTTATCGGCAGATAGGCGCGGCGTACCTGGTCCACTGGCTGGACGCTGTGTGGCTAGGTGGTCCAGCTCAGCCAGGATGTCTTCCTGCCCGCCCTTGGCATTTTCGGATGCAACAATAGCTTTAGATGTTTTGTTGCCGGATTTGTCAAGGCCGAGGTCGTCAAACTGAGCTAAAAGCTCGTCACTGGTGGGTTTGGGGGCCTTTGGAGGCATGTTTGTTTGGGGGAACAATGTTCAGGAGAGGTGACGACACATTGGGAGCTTCTAAACTTGTGGAGATCATGTGCCAAGACCAACAGCACTGACTGCAGGAAAGTCAAATTTACTTATAACTCATCTGGAAGAGTATTGAAGAGAAAGCTATTAATTTGTGTATTTCATTCAATTCCTAGACAAGATATAAGCCTTAGACCTATTGGATGTTGGACTACCTCGACAGTCTTGGATTTAAATGTGTCACCCCGCACTGTACACAGGACCCTAGTATACAATATCAATTATCTTCACTTCTTCTCTTCTTCTCTTCACACGCTCATACCTAGATTTTCAAGCAAAATCAAACCAAATCCCGCGGAAGCAACTCGGAAGCGCAAACCCGATTACCGCGGCTTTGACTGTATCCGCTATGGACCCCCGGCCGCGCGGGGTTACCGATAAATAGCTGCTCATTCCCCCGGGGCCATATAGAGCCCAGTTCCGATTTCGCTAAAAGAAAGAACAGTATCTTTCAAGCTACAAGCTTTGAATCAGGTACAGAATACTTACCTCTCATTGAAATCAGCTGTCTGCTCCAAAGCACAGCTCATTGAGTCACATCTCAACTGACAAACCCCAGACCCCAGATTCCACTCAAATCCACCCATTGAACATACCAACTTCTAATTACGCTCACCTACAACCTTTTCATACCATCCACCATGCGTCTCCCATACGTTGCAGACCCTCCAGCAACTAGCACACCAGACGAAGCCAAGATCCTAGCAAGCGTCCAAGCCCGCCGAGCCCCAGGCCCACTCCTCCCCCTCGACCTAGCCCTCCTACACTCCTACCCAGTTACAGAAGGCTGGAACTCATTTATTGGCGCAATCCGCACCCGAACCACTCTCTCAACCGTCGTCCGCGAATTGGCCATCTGCCGCGTCGCAGTGGTCAACGGCGCTCTCTTCGAGTGGGAACAACATGCACCTCTGCTTGAGGAAGGTGGATTGAGCGCAGAGGGGTTAAAGTTCATTGGGGATGCACAGGCGGACTTCTCGAATGAGGCTGCGTCGTCAGTCTTGACTGATGACCAACGGGCTGTGCTGAAGTATACCGATGCGATGACCAAGACGGTTACGGTACCCGATGAGGTCTTTGCGGAGTTGAAGGGGTGCTTTAATGAACGGGAGGTTGTTGAGATTACCGCTACGGTTGCGGCTTATAATTGTGTTAGTCGCTTTTTGGTGGCTTTGGATGTTGGTGAGAAGAACCACCTGCACTGAGCTGTAGGTGTTACAAGCCTCGCGGCAAAATAGACTGAAAATAGACTAGCTTAAAAGAGCTATTGCCTTTTTTGTTAAGAGATAAGTATATGTGTCAATATTTAGACTCTCTAGCTCGATAATTAGGCGCGGTGAGAAGTCTTCTAGCCTAGTACTCGTGGTGATCTATCACATTTGAAACAGAATGTGATACATCCAGAACGTGCCGCCAAGCCTTGGATTATAAAGTACACTACCTTTTAAGAACTTCCTTCTCTTCTCTTCAATTCTTTGCTTTGGATTTCCTGCTCTTGGGTTGATTCCTTTCTTTTGTGAGAGGTCGCCCTGGTTCAATTAATTCAGTGTTATGCTTTGACCCCTCAGCATAATGGCAGACACACTACCCTTGGAACTGTTATACGAAATCGCAAATTTTCTACGAATTGATGGAGCTTCTTTGGTTCCATGCACTCATGTGTGTCGCTATTGGCAGGCAGCCCTTGAGCCCTTGTTATTTGCCAATCTCGCTATCTATAGTGACAGTTATCATAAAGACAATGGGCAACGTGGAATGTCTCTGACGCATTTTCAGAAACTCACATCCGGCAGACGTGCCATACGGCGAACTTGGATCCGAACTTTGGAGTACAACATTATCATCCCCTGCAAACTATTAGACTGGACCACTGGTAAAAGCTGGAACTATAGCAAGTTTAGCACAGGCAACCAATTAAGGCAGGCCAATGATTTCGCTTTCCAGACGGCTATGTTTGACCTTTTCCAAATGCTTCAATCGTGGGACCAGATTTGCCGTCTCAGATTGCATCTAGGGCTTCGAGGATCTCGACACAAAAGGTGGCCTACAATGGAACCAGATGTTTGGCACAGTCCTACCGCTAGTGCAGCTGGAGATACTACCTCGGTTCCCCCATATCGGGCGTGTTTTGTCAACAATATGCACAAGCTATATCTAGCGCACGTTCCGTGTATTGATAAGCTCTCTTTCCTAAACAGAGATCTCGACAGAAACCGGCATCATCAAATCTGGACTGGGACAGTGGAGACTATTATCCAACACTGTCCAACCATCACTGAACTGGAGCTGGATCTCAACGAATGGATCCGTCCGGACTACTTACCGTATATACAAGGACGTCGAGCATGTAAGCCATGTCAATTTTTTCATGCCTTTTCGCCTAGGCATGCTTTACTAACAATTAGATAGCATTGTCTTCCTTACTCGGGATTATTCCTAAAAGCCTAAGAGTGTTCCATTATAGGGCCTCGGAGGACGGCCCGTGGAAACATAGTATGCCTGCACTAAATGTCATCCCTTCGGGGATTGATAGCATGACTATCAATTTGCGAGATCTCAGCATTCATCTTCGGGAATTGAAGTTGAACAGAACCACTCTTCCCTTTGACTTTCTGTGCCCTTTGGATGAAGAAGCCCAGCCTAGTATAGGCTCCTTGCACTGGCCCTATTTGAAAATATTGGAATTCATGGATGTGCCGCCCTGGCTTCCTTCTGGTAAGGAATATATCTTGTTCTGTTGATATTTCTATAGCCACTAAAAGCAAGACAACTAACTAGGAAAGTGGACATCCAATCACACCCCGGAGTACCGAGCCGAAATCGAGAATGACAAGTGGAATGACCGAATATGCGATTCCGAACGGAGATGGGGCGGAACATCAGTGATGGATGAAGAGCAATTCCACCGGCTTCTCATATCGCTGGGCTATGCAACACAACGTATGCCCTGTTTGAAACATATGGTTTTTCGTATGGAGTGCTATTGCCGGTTTGCTCTTTTACTTCGGAACCACGCCAACGCGAGTACGTTGGAATGGCAATCTCGTGTCGAATATCGGCCAGATAGTCGGGTTGCAAAGGCATGGAGATTTGACCTGGATGGTGATGACATGAGGATTGACTCTGCACATTTGGGTATATGTTCTGTGATGCTTTCAAAGTGGCCGCCCGACGAACCTATCTAGCTCTGACTCCTTGTTGGCAAAGTGACATCAACTACCAAAATCGGAACGGGGTGCGTTCTACAAAAGGATAAGCATCATATGCAGGATCCAAATCTACTCTTCAAAATATATGCTTCCAATATGGCTACCCAAATTTTTGGAATGCAAGAGTACAGTTATAAGAGATCTCGTATGATTCATAGCTTCGCAAACCCTACAAGGCAGTAAAAGCCAGGTTGAAATTGGCGGATGTAAATGAACTATGCTTGGGATGTCTGGGCCGCGGTTGCTGATGATGATTCTGGTGGGACACGGTACAGTTGAGCCTCAGTTCACGGTCTCCACCAAGTGATTTTCAAGAATAGAGCTTATCAAAGGTAATTCCATATTTGCTTGCGCATGGTGAGCATTGAAGGTAGTGCAGCCTTGGAATGGCTTAGTGACTCAACTGGGCCGAATACCCCTGGACCTACTATATCCCCTCCCCCTCCCCCTCCCACTTCCCGATCACCCTTTTCAGTTTTACACATGAAACGGTGCGCTATGATCCAATTCAATCTTTTCGTAGTCACTCGTGCCAGCCAGGCTGCGCTGCTACCCGTGGTCTTAATTGTGTCCTCCATTAACGAGGCCCGCCCGTTAGTAGCTCCCTGGGAGGTCCCAAGTTATCCATAGATGGGAACTTGAGCCTACATACAGACTAACCATCTTTTAGATCCCCAATTGTTAAGATCAGCTTGGATGACACTGCCCTGCTCACTGAGGGTGAGAAGTCAATCATCCAGTTTCAAGCAGGCGACAAGACTGTTACTGGCACTATTCCTTTCATCCAGGAGCTGTGTGCGCAGTTCCCTTTCCTTGTGGGCAATAATGCTAGAGTGGTGAGCTACCGCTTCCTCGAATCTTTATAATTTACCAAGCTCTAATGTAAATGTTGCATCTAGGAGAATGAATGGATCTCTCGATTGGATTCATTTGACACCTTGGACTTCAAGGCCCTCGACCCGATCCTCCAGGTTAGATAAATTTATACGCAGTATTAGACTGATCTAACATGTCCATAAAGCGTCTCGATACCCACCTGCTCTTCCGATCCTTCCTATCGGGTTATTCTCTTTCAACACCGAACATTGCACTATGGGGTGCCCTTCGCGGAAACCGTGTCACTGCCGCCACTCTCAAGAGGGGTACTCTCGTCAACCTGACCCGCTAGTACAAGCTCCTCGAGGAACTGTGCCCTTGGGCCACAGCGGCTGTTGAATCTTTGAATGCTGCTTCTCGCGAGAGGAAGCTTGCTAAATCCAGAGAGGGTGCCAGCTACGATGTTACCTTGAAGGTAGACATACGGATGAGACTAATTCATGATATTCATGGCTAATCATGTGAGTTTTTCAAGAATACTGAGAATAGCGTCGTTACCAGTTTCCCGCCAGAGCCTTCGTACGTTCCCTTTATGCTGGCACATTTCTTTACTAACTTGGTCTATAGTGGATACCTTCATATCGAACATGCTAAAGCCGCTCCGCTCTTTTGGTTTGTTTTCCACCTCTTTCTTAGTGACTCCCAGGCTAACGTTAAAACTTGTCTAGAACGATTACTTTGCCCGTGCGTTCTATGACTTACTTGCGGAAATTATGCCTTACTAACGACCACTTTTCAATAGATGAGAAGTATAGCCACTCTGATACTTCGGTTTGTCTATCTGGTATAAACTGACAATGATAGAGGCTTACTCAATCTCTAGATTTGACGACACCAACCCATCGAAGGAGAAGCAGGAGTTCCAAGATGTCATTTTGGAGGATCTTGCATTGATGGATCCGTCCCCTTTACGTTTCAAATATCGAAAGTACTAACAGGTATACACAGGCATTCAACCCGACAAAGTCAGCTATGCCAGCGACTACTTTGATCAACTCAACGACTATTGTCTTCAGATTATTAAATCTGGAAAGGCTTATGCCGATGACACTGACAAGGAGACCATAAATCATCAGCGGCGGGATGGCATCCCTAGCCAGCGTCGTGACCTCTCTCCCCAGGAGTCCTTGGCTCATTTAGAGGAGATGAAGATGGGCACTCCCGAGGGCCTACGATGGTGCATCCGTGCTAAGATCTCCGTCGATGACGATAACAAGTGCCTCCGCGACCCTGTGATTTACCGATGCAATCCATCTCCACATCACCCTACAGGTAACGCCTGGGCTATCTATCCTACGTATGACTTTGCTTGTCCTATTCTGGATTCGATGGAGGGCGTTGCCCATGCTCTTAGAACCAGTGACAGAGACCGCAGCCCGCAGTACCAGTGGATGCTCGATACTCTGAACCTCCGTACTGTGCAGGTTTGGGACTTTTCTCGCATGAACTTCATCCGTACCCTATTGTCTAAGCGTAAGCTGACCACACTCGTGGAAAGAGGCGTTGTATGGGGGTGGGATGGTAAGTGTTCCGTTTTCTTTGGCTTTATATGCTGGTACTAACGACCATTCAGACCCTCGTTTCCCCACTATTCGTGGTATGCGCCGTCGTGGTATGACGATCCCAGCACTTCGCGAATTTATTCTCAAGCAGGGTCCGTCTAAGAATGCGACCCTATTTTACTGGGACTTGATTTGGGCCACTAACAAGAAGTACATCGACCCGATTTCCCCTCGCTATACGGCCATTGAAACCAAGGCCATTGCTAAGGCGACTGTCACTGGTGGTCCCGCTAACTCATACACGAAGACGCGGCCAAAGCATGTCAAAAATACCTCTCTCGGCGATAAAGTTGTTCCTTTCTCCTCTTCTATTGTTCTAGAGCAAGTTGACGCCAAATCTTTCAACCAGGACGAGGAGATCACGCTGATGAACTGGGGTAATGCAATTGTGCGCAAAATCTCCACCGATGGTTCCACCGGCAAAGTGATGCATCTAGAACTAGAGCTGCATATGGCCGGCGACGTGAAGAAAACCGAGAAGGAGGTGACCTGGCTATCCACGGGGGCCAAAATCTGGTCCCCGTCGAGTTAGTTAACTTTGACTACCTGATCACGAAGGACTCGCTAAGTAAGGAAGACACTCTCGAGGAGTTTCTCAACTTCAACACAGAGTTCCGTGTGAGTGGACTGGCCGATTGCAATGTCTCCGAGGTCAATGCTGGCGATATCCTGCAGTTCGATCGCAAGGGCTTCTACCGTGTGGATCGGGCTCCTGCTCCTGGTGTCCCGGGTGTCTTCTTCAATATCCCCACCGGAAAGCAGAAGTAGATTTCAATGATATCGGAATCGGACGAGGCGTGTGAGAGAATGAATCATAGATATGATGTGATTGAAATGGAGAAGATAGCTTAGATGAAATGGAACAACAATATACTACATATACTCCAAATTTCTTATGCATATAAGCGCCTTAAATAAAGCCAATCATGTTTCTTGATTGCTATAGAGTCAAAATCCACCTTAGGTCAAATATCTGAGTTCTGAGAAAAGATGTTAAATACTCTGTTGCAGACGGTGTGGTTTGCTTTAGGGGGACTCAAGAGCAAGTCACCGTTGTTATGTCAAGAGTTTGAGCTTGGTCTAAAAGATTGAAGCAATATGAACTCAGCCCCTAGAGACGGTGCTTAGCTACATATTCAATATTAGAATGCGCTGGCATGGACAAAGCTCGGCGAAATTGGCATGACACTTAGCAAGCTGATAGCCTTGCCTAAACAACCTCAATTCGAACTGTACTTCTAAAGTAACGTTGTTTATTTGATTGGCTGGGTGTATAAACAACGGAGGTTTTAAATCGACTGAATCTTTCTATGTGTAGATCTTGGTGATGTACAGGCGCTTAGTATCATGCATGTCAAACATGGCGCTTGAGTGCAGACCGAATCATCATTGGAGTTTTAGTTATCGATAACCACTGGTTTTGTACGACACTGCTCCAATTCTTGTGGGCAATATGTATAGACCCTGCAGTATGTCGTATGTCGTATGTCTCTAGGCACTTTGTGCCACCTTGTATGTAACTACCATTATGCTTATTTTTGATATTTGCTGCTCTTTTCGCTGGCCTACGGGTACTTTCCAGCACTTTCTACCTTAGTGCTAGTGCTTTTCCTCGGAGCTGCTTTGTGATCCCACGTTGGCCCTGTCAGTATGAACTTCGAAATTTAGTAGTAGACTATGTGTAGTCCTAGATGACATCCTCTTCTTCTGAAATTATATGTTCCACATCATAAGGACTATCTCTATACTAGGGCTCTAAGGAAATATGGGGCTTGGGACCCACCTATGCACTTTATATATATTTCCTTGTACAACATTGTAAGGCCCTTTCACTACCATTGATATAGCCCATTTAGAGAGCAAATGTTTACATTGCAGAAACTCAGGGATTTAGCTCCTCTAAATCTATAATAAGAAAAAAAATATATATATATATAATATGGGGATATACATTTGCAACCCCAGAGCTCTGCCCAGGTGGTACCCCATATACCGAAAATGCTAGGTTCGCAATAATAATACAAACCATGATACCTCCGGAAATATCACACAAGTAGCCCTTTTAGCACAGTGGTAGTGCGTATCACTCGTATACAATGTGACATGATGAGGTCCCCGGTTCGAACCCGGGAGAGGGCTCTCTTTTTTGGTCTTTCATTTTTTTCTCGCTCACATCTAGAGGTCAAAATGGGAGTAAGACGAGGACGCCTAACCCGTCAATAGTAAGATCTGGGCGAGGGAATTTTAAGAGACGCTGGCAATAATAATCGTGATATGGCTCTAAGGATGAATTGAAGATTAAATCTGCACCCTGCATGTTTCTGCCCCGGCTATACTTCTCGCCGCTTCCCCGGTTGCTGTGCCAAGACATGGAACAGGTAGAGCGGGACTCGTTTATATGTCTTCCTTTCATACTTCCGTTGTTCGATAGTCAAAATTTAGTATCTGTAGATGGACGTTGTACATGGTAGTTTATCGTTGGTTTTAAAGTTGAAAATAAAAGTGTCTAACCAATTGAGATAAATTTGCACTCGGGGAGTATAGGATGGCACTACGACGAATGAGACAACCTATCATATCCAATCAATTTATCATCTAGACAATAATTGTGGTCGATACAAAATCTTATATAAACATCAGGCGTGGGATTTATATCTAACAAGTCCCGGAAACTCAAAATATGTTGTCTAGGCGAAGGAGACGCGAGCGGCTATTCTTGCTAATGGCGAGGCAATTGATACAATGGCTCTTCTCAACTAAAATTTTACCCTACTTGACAATGTGGACTATGGGAGGCTTGAGCTGAACAGTTTGATTCGGTATCTATCGCTGGTTTGAGTTTGGCATGCCTATTGCCACTACTTGTGACGTGGTGTGTGGATACGAGACAATTATCGAGGGAGGTCCATATGCAGAACATATGTTAGGTGTTCTTTATACCATAATTAATATAAGTAGACATAATGCAGTCAGAGGTGACCATGTGTATTCCAGTCTCTATATCGTAGCGGATGAGGCGTCACCTCTTTATTCCTGTGACACAAGGCATGGGGACTATGCACCGAGGGACCAAGAATAACCACAATGGACATATATTATCTGGGTACTATCTGAATATCCTCCAGTTAGCTAGCGTTCAGTCTGTCACTTGCCCACGACTTGCTCGTCGAGTATGGATACAGTCGAGCCTATGTGACTGTCCACGGAAGTAAGCGCATAGAACTAAGTCTCCCCTGGGCCTCCCCAGAGACCTACTTTAACTTTCAGCTGCCTGCCTGAATAGCCAGCTATTGAGGAGACAAGCTATTGTTCGACTCTAAAGTACGTATCATGTGACGTCTACAATGGCAAAATAATCGGTACAAGGGATAGTAGGTAACAATTCAAGAATAAAGACAATAGACAATTGAAGAATACAATGCAAAAAAATCAATAAAATCATTGATCAATAGTGATCAATCCAAATCAAAAACCCCCTTTCCTCAATGTCGTCCAATGTGGCTAGTAGATAAGAGGCCTCTGATTGGTCGGGCCAGGACGGGGTTTCCACTGCCTATGAAACTACAAAACTATCTCTCTCTCAACCTCAATCTCTTCTCAACTTCATCATCCTTATCCCATTTCCCCTTCCGATTTATTTTCTTCTCTTGTACTTCCTCTGTTCTGTAATTTCACCCCATCTACTGACTTTGTTTTCGTGTTTTCTTCTTTGCGCGGTGTCGCGTCGGCGAAGATCATTTTTTTCTTCATACTACCCGGCGACGCAAGATCTGCGCGCCAAACACAAGTTTGCGGCGTTCCTTTTGACATCTTCTCTATTTCACCTGTCTCCTAAATCTGATCCCTTCTTCATCTTCTCTCATCCCACTTCGCGTTGTGTCCCAATAAGTGGACTGTCACCCAGCCTTCCCTAGTCGGATAGTAAGTACACATCCCTGGCAGCCACTCATGCCTATCCTGCACCATTCTTTGCAGAACACACTAACACCCAGCAGTCATTGGCTGTGACTCGTGTCTCTCATCCACAAGGATTCAAACTCGACTTCAAACATCTCATGGTAAGTGGCGCGTCTGTTTCCACTTTTTTCTTGTATGCCACAGTTTCGCCGTACTTCCCGGTCAGATCTTGATCCATGCATTTTTGCCCGACCGTGTCTTATGTTTCATGCTTTTCTTGTTGCATGTTACATGTCGCGTTTACTGGGTTTACAATGTATTGCGATTCTTGTGTTCACGCTGGTCCATGCCTTGTGCCTTGGCCTTCGAAACCGCGGAATTGCGCTGCGATTTACTGGCGTCTTGGCACCCGCAAGCGAACCAACGCTGACCATCTATACAGATTCTTCTTTGACATTCTTCATTCTCCATTTGAGACTAGTGTTTTTCTTTTTCTTCTTTTCTTTCTTGTTTATTGAAACACAAATACCCCTCTTGTTCTTTTTTTCTCTCTCACCATTTCCGCCAAAATGGCCCCCATCCCAAGGGCCGATCTGGATGGGGACAATCCTTCTTCGGATATTGGTGACAGCCAGGACTCCCCGCTGCGTCGTCAATTTTCTGAACCCTTCCGTCCCCAATCTACTTCTACTCAAATCTCTCAGTCACCGGAGCCCTTGCCTCGACGACTCAAGTGTGACTGGTGTGGGAAGCTTTTGATGCTCCCAAATGACGCAGACATCTCTGAAGAAGATGTTTTGAATGATCATATCAACGAAGCTCACCCGAAATCTATCAGTTTTTCTGGGTATGATGGTGCCGACGATGGTGCTGAAGACACTTACGACGAGAATGGCGATCTTCAAGATGACGACGCCATTGAACAAGACGAACCTATAGCTCAAGCTGCCAATCATGAAGATGTCGAAGAGATCGCAGTGGAAATGACCACTGAAGATACCCATGGCACCCAGCCAACCGCAATCCCAGTCAATGTCAGCCATGTGCCCGAAACAAAGCGTGACCTCTTGGACTGGCTTTCCAACCCGCGTACTGGACACCCTGAGGAGTATCGCCTCCGCGACGCCCAGTGGCGACGACCAGATGTGAAAAAGCGCCTTGAACGCTTCTGGAAAGTCCACGATGCCAACAAATTCTCCCCCCACTACGACCAGGAAGCTGCCAAGTGTGAATCTACTTGGGAAAACGCTTTCCATGACCCCTCTAAGACTAGGAAACGTGAAGCTCATGAACCAGCTTCTCACCCTCTTCCATACAAGAAGCCCAAAGTCGACAAAGGTCAATTTCTTGAAGTACAGGCTCAAGAACTCGACGAACTCATCAGCATGCTCCGCAGTCCTGAAAAATACACACCTAAAGAACTCTACGCAATCACCCAGACCGCCGCTTTTGCTTTGAAAGCATTTCAAGATGAATACCTGGCCCTCGACGACCTTTACCTCAAGGCACACCGACACAAGCGAGATGAACCCTCATATCAAACGAAGCGACATCAAATCCAGGGTCACAAGAAAAAGGGTGGAGCCCCTCTGGTTCATGTGAATGAGGACAAACATGACTTTGAGGAAAAGAAAGAGGCAATGCTCTATGGTTACAAACACAATTATTTCCCGCACAACACACCACTTGTGCCCATCCGCACACCGCAGGATCCATTCGTGCAGGGAGGCTTTGTCCCAACTGCCGCGCAAGCCAGAAGGATGGCTACCAAGAAAAAAGAGACTGGTGATCTTAACCCTGATGGGTGGACAACCATGAAGAAACATGGTCTTGAATATCACGCTCAGATGTACGAACCTCGACGCGAGCCAGCTGTGCCGAAAGTCACTCGGAAACGCAAGGCCGCAGAGGTCGAAGTACCAACCAAAACGACCGATACAGAAGAAACTCAAAATGACAGTGTGGATGGTGATGAAACTGACGAAGATAACCACCCCGCAAAGCGGCGCACCCGAGGCCGCGGTGGCAAAACCGTCGTCGCCGAATCCACTCACTCCGACAGCAACTCTCGCAAGGCCTCTGGCCGGGGCCGTGGCCGCGGACGCGGCCGTGGGCTTGGTCGCCTTGGTTCCTCTCGGGCTACCTTCGAAGTCACCCCTGCCCCAACTCAACCCTCATCTCGGGGCAGGGGTCGACGTGGCGCTAGCAGCCTGGCCTCCTCATCCCTCCCTCCAGCAGAGACCTCCTTCCCGGCCGTCGAACCGACGGCCACCGAAAGCCCCGTCGACTCCGCTCCGACGTCGGCCAAGAAGGAGGCACTCTCTGCTGAGGCGATCGAGGAGGCCAGGCGCCAGAAGATCGCCAATTCGAAGAACCCTAAGAGAACCAAGGCGATGCTCGATCACTGGGACCGATTCAATCGGGAAGGACGCATCCGCAACCCAAAGCGATCCAAGGCCCAAATCGAGCAGGACCGGACCGTCGACGGCCCCGCCGACGAGGTCCCCAAGCCCACTGGCCCCGGCCGCCGCAAGCGGTCGCCTTCGCTGGCACCGCTTGCTGGCAACCTCGCCCCCAAGGGGCCCACCGGCCTGCCCTCAATGGCAACCGTCCAGGCGCAGCAGCAGCAGCCCATGCCTCCCACCCTCCCCCCTATGGGGGTGGTGCCTCACTACGGCCCCGGCCCAGTGAACCCTTTCGCTGCTGCTGCTGCGCCTATGGCGCAACTGGGGCAACCCATGCCGCCCCAGTACGCCCCATTCCCGTACGTCCAGTACCACGGGATGGGCCCCCTTCCGGGTCATAACCCCGGGGGCCCACGCCATTGAGGGCAGGTCGCCTCGTCGAGGCAATCCTCAGTTCCCCTTTCTCTCACTTGAACTATTATCTCACTTCATGTTCATCTTACTTATCATTTACGAGTGAGAGAGAGGGAGAACTGGGGATTGCCTCGACACCCACTGATCATTCGCTGTTTCCCGGCCCACCCCAGGGTTTGGAATGGGATCGCGGGGTATCATCTTCGCCCCGGTTTATCCTGCTTGGTGCATGGCCCTCTGCGTGACTGGGCCGAGCCCGCGGTTGATGAACCGGGGTGGAGGTGTTCCCTGTGATCTCAGACCTCCCTGGGGTGTGGGCCGGGAACGCGATAATCAGATACATTATTATGAAGGTACCGGTGCCCTGGCAGTGTCTGGACACTGCCGGGGCACCGGTATATGTATTCTAAGGCCCAAATTCATGTTGTAAAAAAGTTCTTGTTTTCTGTCTGTAATTCTTAGCTTGTGCAAGACTAGTTTCCAAAGTTGTAGATTGTATGTATAGATAGTTTACAGTTTGTACTTTGCATTTTGGACTCAGTATTTCATTCAACATGGGTGGATGCAATATAAACCAAGATATAACTACACTGAATGTGTAGTATAACAGATCACAGCTCAGCTTTATGGTTTAGAAGTAGTATAATGGGCATTCTATCACAATATGGGATATTCTCTCACAAAAGGTAGGCAGGGCGAAGGGATGGGGAAGAAAAGGAATTTTTTTTGGTTAATGAAGACGGAGCAATATTTGAAGTCACATTGTTTCCCAAGTGTAAGAAGAGAGAGCAAAAAAGCATGAGCCCCTTCAAACCGCTCCAACGTTCATTCACTCACAACTTTATACTTCATCCGGACAAAGTCACGTGCCAACCACGTGATCCAGGCTTGGCCTCATCCATCATGGCGAGCTCCCGGATCTGCGACACACTCCTAAGCCAACCTCCCCTAGCAACCCCACACACCTCTCCGCATTTCAAATCGCTCTGTGTATCTACCAAAGCCAGAATGGGCAAAAAAAGACGTGGTCCCTCTCTTGAGGAGCTCCTTGATCGCCCATGGTGCTACTACTGCGAACGTGACTTCGACGACCTGAAGATCCTCATCTCTCATCAGAAAGCAAAGCATTTCAAGTGTGACAACTGCAATCGCAGGCTGAATACAGCTGGAGGTAAGTCCTATTTCATCTAGATAATGTGAGTGCAGAAACTGATGGCTTGTCCCGCTAGGTCTATCCGTGCACTTGAGCCAAGTCCATAAAGAGCAATTGACCCAGGTCCACAATGCGCTGCCGAACCGCATGGGTGTCGATGTTGAGATTTTTGGCATGGAGGGTATCCCCGCAGACGTCCTCAAGGCCCATCAGCAGCGTGTTGCTTCACAATTTCAGCAGGCCGAGCTGGATCGCCAGCATGCGACAGGCAACCCTCCTACTGGCGCCTCTTCTGGGGGTCAGCCGGCAAAGAAGCCTAAGCTTGAACCTGTCTCAGATATCAAGAAGCGACTGGCTGAGCACAAGGCCAGGCGTGCGGAGGCGCTTGCCGGGGGTAGCAGCGGCGATGTAACACCCTCTAGTGCTGTTCAGTCTACGCCAACATCTGGTGTATATGTGAGTCTTATCCTGCTATGCAATGTGAAATGATACAAGAACTAACAATTATTACTAGGCGCAATCGCCTCAGATCGCAGCCGCTCAGCAATACTCTTATCCTCAGCCATACGGTGGGCCCCCCGCCGCTGTGACACCTCATTTCTCGCAGACTGGCAGTCCTGTCTATTCAAGCTACTCCCCGGTTGGTGGACAGCAACTCCCTGGTGCCTCGCCCTACACTCCGACCGGATATCCCTCGCCATTCCCCGCCGGACTTCCTGCGCAGCCACCAGTCTCCTATGGGGCTCCTCCTTACCCCCAGCAACAACCTCCACCATCCGATAACAGATTTATGGGCCTACCGGCCGCCTCAAACCTTCCCCAGCGTCCTGCTTTTGGTGTACCTTCAGTCAACGCGCACGAAATGCAAAAGATGCACATGGGACACGTGCCCCTCACCCCCGCAGCTTTGGGTCACTCTAATGGAGACAGCGCCCAACCAACCAAGCATGTCTCCACACCTGTTGACAATCAGATTTCAGGCGCAGCCAATGACGTCGCCCCCCATGCAGAGGGTAGCAGCAAACCCAAAAAGAAAAGACCAAGCCCGCGATCCGAATGGTTTACAATGACGATACGTTCAGTCCCGAGGAGAAGAAGGCGCAGCTACCTCGATATGCATACGTCCCAGATCAAAGCACGCAAACCGCCCTCGGCGAGATCCCCGGCAACGCAATCGTGGGCGCCATTCAAGAGTCCGACACGGTGATCGATCCGGCACATTAAGTTCTGCTTTGTTTATTTCCTGCTGCATTTGCAAGTGATGGAGTTACGGAAACCAGCTAAGTCGACACATCAAAACTTCTAGTTACATATGAGCATTCTCCTGGCTGGATATTTGGTTGTCATCAGTGGCCCTGATTCCAAATCCTAGTCTGGCGAGTCCTCCCCGTCCCACCATCTCTCTCCCGACAACCCCAGGAAACGTCGATGCAGCGAGATAAAAAGATATTTTGAAAGACATTGAAGGAGAAAATCGAAAAACTCCGAAAAAAACCATCAAAAACCCAAAAGAAAGAAATAATTGAGAGGCTCCCTTGAGTCGCTCGTTCAGGATGGGAGGCCTAGGTCTGAGCTATTGGTTTGCGAAAGTCACATCGAGCCTACGTACAGTACGTGCCTTGCCCTTTGATCCTCCCTCCTGACTCCCCACTGGAGGTTTAACCCTGGAGGAATCTGTTTGATGTGAATGCCTAGACGGCAAAAATGATGCCATCTACGGTCGATGTAAGTTTTTAGCGTTTCTCTGGAGGTAGGAAATCCATCTCGGGCGTTTTGACCTGGAATCTCATGGGCTTTCGTTATCTACCAATGTATGTTTGATTTCGGTGATCCTGTCTGTACCTCGTATCCGTACAGTAGCCACAAATACATGCAACATCTAACTAAACCAAGTCAATACGTAAATGACCTATAAAGACTCAATTGACGTATGACTGTCACCAAAACGAACTAACAATTCAATTCCATTCATTATTTCTCCTAACGATTTCATTTCCATTCAATTCTCATGCCTTCTTCTCCTTGAACGCAAACCCAAAAACAAAAAGCCCATAAGTAGCCAGGATTGACAGAACAACCGGAACAGGCTTTCCACCCGTCTTGATCACGCGCGGTACCGAGCTTCCACCCAGCACGGCCGAGGCTAGAAGGCCCAATTCCTCGCCGTAGGATTGGCCGGCGCGCAGGCGCAGGAATGCGAGGAGGTAGACGAGGCCTACGGAAACGCCGGCGACGATTGAGGGGATTGATCCGGTGCGTGTGTAGCCGATTATGCCACCCAGACTTGTTAGGAGGGAGAGGACCAGGGCGGAGGTTGTTGGTGGAGACTGAATTTGTTAGTTTTGGGTTGGCTGGGGAGTAGGGAGATATAAGAGGGGTGTTGGTTGGATTTGGAGTTGGAGCCCGCGGAGTGGTTGGGGTGGGTGGATTGAATTGGGGTTGGGGATGTAGATCTGTTAACGTACCATCTTGTAGGTTCTAGACGGGTTGGCTCTTCTTTTCTGGGGATTTGGAGGAGTATGGGTCAAGAGTAAGAGGGTGAGATTAGGAGAGATGTAAGTTACGCAGATGAAGCTCGGTCATGCAATTGATTAGTCAGATGACGAAGTCTGGGGTAAATGTGCACGCATAATTTAATGCTCGGAACTATATATTCTAAGGTTCTGTGTTTACATGGTCCCGATTTCAAATCGTACTCATGAAGTTTGTTCATATTGATATATCTGTGCATCTCCAAGGTGAACTGTGCTGTATGTCCAACACTTGATCATGCCGAGGTAAGATAGTCTACTTACCGGCCATTTACAGCAGCAACTTGGTTGCAGCACCAATGCGTTCCTGGATGATGGAGCTCCATTTCTAGAAACACATAAGTTAGCAATTGGACCCAAAGCAAAAGGTTTCCTAATAAACACATACCTCGGCATTCTCCAAGTCTCCAGCCTCAAGACTCTCTACTAGTCCAGGGTAGGTGGCTCCCGAGTAACCAGTCCAAATACCAGGGGCGAAGACGACATGCTTGAACCAGTCACGGCCATCCAGACCGGGCTGATACAAGAAAGCCCGTTCGATTCCCTTGTACTTCTCATTGGTGGCGCGAATCTGGAACCAAAGTCTCACCTTCTTCCACCAGTGGTACCAAGGCACGTCGTCACCAAGCTGAGACTCCAGGTCGGCAGCACGGGCATCGAAAGCCTTTGCGGACTCCTGGAACTCAAGAATAGCCCTATCTAGAGGTGCGAAGTCGAAGTGGGTCTTCTCCGGAAGATTGTCCGCTGCAGGCTTGATGTGGTCCAGGTAGGATCCAAGACCAAGAGAATAGTCGGTGGCGTTAAGCGCAAGGAGGGGAGACTCCACCAATTGTGCCGCTGCCAGAGCCCAGAGCTTCGTGCAAGCTTGGTGGTAGAGGAAGTCCTTATCACCATACTTCTCCATCCATGCGAAGCTGTCGTAGTTTGAGTGGTAGTGGTAGACCGGGTCATTCTTACCACGACCAAAGCCAAAGTCGAGACTGGCGACACCGGCGAAATCTTGGAAGGCAGTGAAGTCACTGCCGCTGCCCATTGTCGCGATCTTGCCATTCCAAACATCGCGGACTGTCTGGCCCCGCACGGTCTGGTTGGGGGACTGCACCAGAGCGGTGACGTCGTTAATGACCTTGTTTAGCAAGGGACTGGCTCGAGGTTCGAAATTTGTGCCTGCAGCAGCCACATCGACATTCAGATATGCGATGTTGGCCTTGGAGAGCCATGGGAGGTATTCTTCCACCCACTCGGTCGAGCCAAGAAGACCGTACTCTTCACCGTCCCAGCTGGCAAAGACAACAGTGCGCAATGGCTTCCATCCTGCCTTGAGGGCCTCGCCGAAGCTGCGGACGACTTCGTTCAAGGCAGCGGATCCGCTGTTAGGATCTCCTGCACCACCAGCAATCCACGCGTCACGGTGGTTACCGAGAATAACGACTTCATCTTGGATGTGACCCTTAATGGTACCAATGACATTCCACAGTGGGGTGGTCACATACTCCTGGAGGTTGTGGAGGTTAATCACCACATCCTCAGGGGATGGTCCAATATTGTACTCCACACCCTTGTAGCCGAGGCCGCCTCCCTGCCAAAACTCATTGAAGTCCGACGCTTTGGGGCCGTGACCGTTAAGCGCCTTCAAGAATGGGAGAGCCTCCTTGTACGAGACCGGGAGAGATGGGATTGAAGGGATGGAGTTGTGCGGATCTTGTCGCTCGCATCCAGGCTTAGATGCGTATCCTGGGGTAGTGGGGTCACCAGGGAGGATACCTTGTTCAAGTTAGCTTTGCAGTGTCATTAGTTAGGAAGAAAAGCCTTACTGAGGAATTGAGTGCTACCTCTCTGGATAGCACTGGGATTCCGTGCCGGTCCATTAGGATAGGCTTCATAGCCATTTTCCTCGGTAATTTCACCATCTTCCTGCGGATCACTGTAGATAACTACGCCGATCATTCCAAGCTCCTGTGCACGCTTCACCTTCAAACCACGGAAGTTCATACCGTACTTGGCGATGGCAATCTTACCCTCCAAAGTGACGTTGGCATTGACGAGATCCTCAAAGTCCCTGTACGTGCCAAAGTTGACATACACATACTGTGCGGTCACATTACCACTAGCAGAATAGCCATGAAACACTGGGACACGGTCTGGCAGGCCAGAAGTAGGATCCTCTTCGAGGACATCCTCCTCCAGTGTAGCTTCAAAAGTCACTTCGGACTTGTCACCGGACGTCTTCAAGAGAGCCAGGCGGTGATCGAGCGGGTAGTTGATGTAAATATCATACGCCGCGAGTCCGGTATCCTCCACGCCGAATTCCTTCCATTTTTCCATAGTCCAGAGCGCCTGAGACAGGTTCTTTCCTCCCAAGTGTGGTCCTGCAGTATAGTATTTGCTCCACTCTCGGGCCTTTTCTGCGGAAGGCACATTTAGGAGGATCTGCTGGAGCTGGTTGTAAGGCAGACCGTAGCTCTCCGGCCACGCATCGTGGGGGATTGGATGGGCTCCAGGAAGGTAGGACCAAATGGAGCCATGCTCTCGAGGCAAAATGGCGATGGGAAGTAGGAATAGAAGGGTCGCCACAGAAAGCAGGGCTGCTAGGGAGATAGTACAGGCTCGACGAACAGCATGGTGCGGATATCTATGCCGCGGAGGAGCGACATTGACCACTAACAGAGGTGTAGTCTCTGAATACCGCATGTCTTTCTCCCTCATCTTGTGTGTGGGAGAATGAAAATGTCAAAATCCAGGAAAGCTTCCAAGGTTCTCCGCATTGTATCATCGACCGAGCGATCACCTTATCGGCTGACAAAGCTACCCCCCTACGGATCAGCCCGTCATCAAATTGCCTTTTTGGGAAATCATTGATCGTCTATCTATGCAAGTTCCTCGGTCTTTCTCGCCAATAGTAATGATTAGATCTTCAATTGAAGTTAGATATAAGTGGTATTTTAGTAAATGTAAGACAAAACATGAGTGGTATCATAATAGCTATTTATATACAATCGCTCAAGATGAGAAAACTGCATGACCCTTGAAATGGGGAGCAAAAAGCGATAAAACACATGTCACAACCAGAAAGATAAAAGGAACATAGCGCCCATGGCATAAAATGTAACGGACTAAACGCACAATCATACTTCGACATCATCCGATACATGGACAACATTGAGGTCTGGATTGACTCTGTCACCAATCTCCATACTCTCCCTCATAATCCGACGGGCATCTTCGTCGTTGACTTTCATGTCATCCTTGACCATGAGGACAGCCAGCTCAGGCACAAGAACAGACTGTGTGTAGCCAGCCACGCCTGCCGTCTTGATAAGTTCATCTGTTGTCGCCAATCGACGAACAACCACAGAAAAGCGACGAATAATTGTTTCTAGTCTAATTTGAACACAGATGTTAGCGTCGTCAAATCAAGCAGGGGTTATATGCCACATACATCCTGGTTGCACCCATGGTGCCATAATAACCACAGGTCATCGTCTCAAGCCTCTCGGCATCACCCGCTCTCACACGGAAGTTTCTCGCTTTCCCTGGTGCAAAAGAGGTAGAGGTACTAAAAATGTTTCGGTAATAGGAGGAAGCACCAGGGACAAGTAGTTTTTCAAGTTCGGGGAAATAGCTCTGAACACGTTCTTCAAACCCATTCCAGTCAATCTTGGGGTACCCTCGCTCACGCCACGAGTTCATCGC